GAAGCAGACCCGAGGCCGGTCTCTTGGGCATCATGGGGGAGGCTTTGGAATTTACCGTTATTATTATATGGGGGGTTTCCGGAGCATGTTCGAGGCCCTGTTTGAGATCTGCCTATTGGTCGATACGGGCTTTCTGCACGCATCGGAGTCGGAATTGCTCCAAAATCCGAGGAAAGCAGGGCAGGCGGCAGTCCAAAATTTATGAATCTGTCACCCGTGTTCTAGCACATTCGGCGGCAGCTTTCCGGCTTTCCGTCGCGCCCATGACGGCCTATCTGCTCAGCTTCTGTGCGCACTTTGGTGAGCAGTTCGAGGCACTTTGTTGTTGTTTTGCTGCAGTTCTGCTGCTCATTTGTCCGCGCTTGTCCGCTGTTTTGCACCATCTGCCGGGCCCGCGGTCTACAGTTTCCGCAGTTTTCCGGCCATTATGGGCAGCAAATCCTGCAAATGCCCCCTGTTGCCCGGCCTTTGAGACCGGATGCGTCCGCCGTACCCCCGGCCTTCCGGCTCCGGGTCTCTGCATCCTTCTTCTGAGCCTTTCGTGCGAGTTTCTGGGCACATGTGTGCCCGTTTGGGCACAGTTGCGGGACATCTGGGACAGAATGTTTGCGCTGACGGAGCACATGTGGGCGCCGTTTTGGACACGCTGGGGGGCTGAGGTCCGCCTGATCTTCAAGCATTTCCACCTGATGTCTGACTAATGTTCGGCAAACGCCGCCTGATGTTCGCCTGATGTTCGCCTAATCTCCGCCTGATATTCGCCTAATCTTCGTCTGACCGTTGCCGTTTTTTGGCCGCCGCTGGGGCCGTTTTTGCGAAATTGGCGTGTGAATCGACACCGATGATGTGCGCGTTCGGGCCCAGATTGTTGGGCGGCTTTCACCGATCTGTCACACAAATCCGCCAGAAGTGCTGCACATTTGCGGCTGAATTGGGGCTGGAAAGCAAGGCGACTAAGGATCGAACCGCGGCTTCTCCGGAGGCCGTTTGGCAATCTGGCGGCTGATTGCGGGCTGATTGCGGGCTGATCTGCGCGCAAACGGTAGCGGCTCTTCCAGGGCCGGTCTCGCGACTGCGTACTTGTTGTGGATGAGTTCTGAGACCATCCCAGGCGATTTGGCCACAGGACGCCCGGGTTGGCACCGTTTCCACTCCGCTTTTGGGGCGATTGCGGCCCCATTTGGGTATGCAAGCGGGCGACTGTCACCGTGGTTTGGGAGATCCCCGTTTTCGTGCAATGAGATGGGTGGGGACGGTGTCCAGCTCAAACTCGGGCATTTTGCCGACAAACTGGGAGACTTTCTCCCACAAATGGAAGTGGCGAAAATGACAGGATCGTAATTCCGCCTGTGGCGAAAATGAGAGTTGGCCCCCAAAATTGTGCGTGTGGCTCGGCAAATGCTGGCCAATCTGAGACCGTTTGCCAACAGACTCGGCGAAGGCGCAGTTCGATGAACCACTGAGCATTTCCCGGTCCTCTTGAGGCCGAACAGAGGCTGAGCTGAGGATGAAAGGCAGGTGTTTCAGACCAACTCGACACAGTTTGGAGTCACCCATGGAGCGAAATGTTGGCCGCTGAGGGGTTGGATTTCGTCCTGGTGCAGCATTTTTGTCGTGAATTTTGATCCCGGCTGTGACCATGCAGCGTCCGGCCAGGCGCAGCTGGCTGGCATTTTGCTGCGGTTCTACAGGCAATTTCTGGCAATTTGGTGGCAATTTTCGACGAATCTGCGACGCGGAATGCCGGGGGATGTTGGTCCGACTCTGCCAATCTGTCGAGCATTTGTCGAGCCGTGGCGCGGAGGTGTCCAGCCGAAACGGAGACGGAACAAGGCAGAAGTTGGCGCGATCCGAAGGCAATTGTTTGCTGGTTTCTGCGTGAAAGTTCGGCCGACTGAGGCCGAATTGCAGCCCGAAGTTGGAAGATTTGGCACCGAGAATCGGGGTTTCGGCCACAGGTTTTCGCCGAAATGAGGCCGAAATGAGGCCGAAATGTGGGCGTTCGGGGGCCCGCTACAGCCGAAAAACAGCCGAAAATTGGTCAATTCGTTGCCACTTCGAGCGCGGATGGGAGCTGGGCGCGGCCTGGGGAGTACGGATCTGCCTGAGCGGACTCCAGATCGGCGAAATTGTATGGCCCGGGCTAAATGGGATAGAGCAAGACTTGATGTACCGGTAGGACTAACCGATGACTGAGATGAATGCTGCCATTGCAACCTGCATTTGCCGGAACTCCGGTATATTATGGTCAGGGCCGCTAGCTGCATGTCGCGCCGCGGGAGCACACTTCAGACAATTGTGTTGGCGGCCGGGAGCAACATTAACGCCCTACTATCGGATTCGATTTGAGATACAAAATAAGTATGAATCAGGCCGAGGAGTTGTGGCTGCATTGTGGCATGCACTGTCAGCCAACGTTAACGACAGTACGTGGAGCCTATAGGCCTGCTCAGTGGTTGAGCTTTCACCTACATTTTGACGTGCACTCAATGATCTAGCATGTACTAATTAACTTAAGAGAAGACCTAGAATTGTAACCGAATCATAACGCAATCGATATACCCCCCATAACCACCCTAGTAGGTAGCTTGTGTCACTTATGGCGGCCGCCTAGGCTATCAATGCTTGAATGTGATTAGCTCGATATACCAGTAAGTTCAGCCGCGATTGCATAAATCAAATTAACGAGTCTGCTTGAAAGGTTGCGGACGTGCGCCGCAGATAGCTAGTAGGGTCTGCGTCCCATGCGTGCGATAGATGGTGAATGGACTGAACACCCGAATGATGACAGTTGTGCGCGGGACGTGTAAAGGCCTGCGAGTCCGGTCCATACACGACCTTTCCGATAAGTGAACATAGTTTGGCCTTCGTGCGTCTGGACCGCGCAAAACTAAAAGTATCAAAATGGGGATGTCCGTGTTCAGAAGCAAGATTTGCCTATGGTACAACATTGATAAGCTTGCAAAGTCTTCACTTTTGGAGCATGTAAATGGCATGATCTAGACTCTGTTCAAAGCCCGCAAAAACCGCACTGTCAAGACTACAGAAACAATAAGTAGCATGCAAGCAGTAAGCATCCGGTGCAGCGCCCGCCCCTTTTCCGCTCGCAATAATCTAGATTTGCAACACCAACTTTTCATGGGTTCCCGTACTGCATCGAAAACGAGAAAATGTCACGACCAAAAGCAGAGGAAGTCGTTAGAGCACATAGCCGAACGACTTGCGAGCAGCACCATTCAGCGTCCTAGAATATAGCAAGACGAACAGCGAAACCGCATGTGAAAGCGAGACATGCAAAGTCTCGGCCAAGAAAAACCTACGACTAGTCCTGATGTCAGCGAGGGGCGGTGTGGTTGGAAGGGGGTACCCACCTGGTACGCTGCAGTTCAACATTTTCGACGTTTTCAAACTTGAGACTCTTCAACACGTTGCCCGAGCTGCAAAGCCGTAGGACATGCTCAACGCCAGTTCCAGAAGAATAACTGCAATCTGAAGCTGTTTGCGAAGGACCGTCTTGGCATGCAAGAAGACGGGTATGCAACAAGCCGGCGCTCTCGCTAGAAACGGTGCAGCTTAGCAGAGACTGTTGTGGATCCGGAGACAGATCGATTCAACGGGTTCCGAGATGGCAACGATCCGAGTCTCGTCATACATGGTCGCCTTCAAGCCGAGTTCAGTACCAAAACCCAGCAGAGCGATACATCTTATGCATCTGTGACCCAGAATTTTCTCAGACACAACATAACGCCTTGGAGACCATCAGCCTTTCACAAGCGTTCCACTTTGGTCCTTCCCGCAATCACTTTTATCCTAAGATCATCTCCATAAGTTTTCAAGCGGGAGCAAACTCCGACAGATCGAAGAAAGCCGCGCACCTCGTTCGTTGAATCGACAGCAACTTGCGCGACGCCACGTCCTGGAAGGTGTTCAGGTAGTTTCGCAGCTTCATTCCGCGCCCCGGAAGGGGAAGCTCTCCCGGAGCGGCCGGAACGGTGGCGAGCGTCGTCAAATTGTCGGAGCTCTGACTGTGAAGAACGGCCCCCCACTGCTCCCCGGGAATGCGCAGGTACGTGGCAGCAATGAGAGTAGTCAACGCCTTGTTCACCTGCGGGGAAGAAGAGTTCATCTCTTAAGTACACAAGAGCGAGCGTCGTTAACCTGTCAGAGTCTTCGCTGTAGTAACGGCCCCCCACTGCTACCCGCGGATGCGAAGATACATGGCCGCAATGAGAGGAGTCAGGGCCTTGTCAATTTGCGGGAGAGGGGAAGGGTTCGGCTCGGGTCAGGAAAGTAGTGAAAAGCGAATCATCTCCAATCATCTGACCAAACCCTCTTCTGAACAAGGCTCCCGCCTCATGGCGACGAGAAACATTAAGCTGTAAAGAGCGGTGGGTACACCGCAGAAATTCGTGGTCAGTTCACCAAGCTTCTTTTCCTGATGAGGACTTGGAAGACTCAAGCACGAAGCAGCGAGTTGTGTGCTCGAAAGGAGCAAGAAGTAAGTATTCGTGCAAAAGAAGAGTTTCACTCTTGCTACCGCGAAAAATGTCCCAAGTGGGCGCTGGCACACGGAGTGCTTAGTGTGAAGATCACCTGGAGAGGAGGAAATGTTTGCAAGGTAGGGTCTGCAGCGCTGAGAGTAGGGATTCCGGCGTTACAATACAGAGTCTCCGGATTTGAGGAAATTTGTCTTCAGAAAATAAGAGAAAAATAAGTCACATAGTTCGTTCGAGGGCTCGAAAGTTCAAAAAATGCCATTTACCAAGGCGGGAAAGCCTTGTTCTCTTGCGCGATTCTTTGAACAAGCGATTCGAGGTGCCTTTCTCGCAACGGGGCGGTAACTTAGATATTCAAACGTTCGCAGGCAACGCACACAGAACAAAGCAGTCACGGAAACAGGTGTCAGCAAATGAACCACACCCTCACTAACTTTTTAGCCCAGGTAACGGAAACCGGCAGCGTCTCACTTACCAACCCCAGACTCTCGAAGTGAAGAGGATTTCAGAGACATTACCTGTTCGGCAGATTCTCGCAGTACCAGATGCCCCCCGGGCATAACCACCAGTCGCGCGACTGGCGTGAGCCGCTGTGCCAGCTTGTTCGCATGGTGGACGGAAGCAACAATGTCTCCCCTGGGAAGCAAAGGGATAAGACTTACAGCCTGGTCTAGACTGAGTTTCTAGCAAAACAAAGACACACAAAGGACAGAGCCAGCTTGTTTCAAATGACGTAGTGTGAGGTGTTCTCGATTGAGTTTCTTAATGAGATTCACAGTCGGGCCTGCTCTGAAACAATCCAATGGCGTAAAGCAGGTACTCTCCGTTGCCCGATGAGCGCTCAGCATTTGCACAATCAGGAACTACGTCGTTTGACAAAGCAGCACCAAAACGGATCGTCTCAACTTCCGAACACAACTGAAAACCAGGAACCCAAACCAAATGAAGACCTACCGTCCGTGGATGATCGACACGAGGAAGCCCCCAGTGCGGATCGTCTCAATCTCCTTGTCATCCACTCGGTGCGTCCAACACGCGTTCTCATGTCCCTTCAACCCGTGCTTCGGCTGCAGCCCCGCCGCAGAAATCGCCTGAACGTATTCCTTGTACAACACGTCTCGTCGCCGCCCCCCCTCAATCGTTTCCTCCAAGTATTCCTGGGGAGAAAGCAGAGAAGCTGAGCAGTGGAACTCCGATGTGGGCAGAAAGAAGCTTCGAACACGTCTCGTCACCGGACCCCCTCAATGGGTTCCTCCAAATATGATTCAAGAGAAAGGAGAGGAGCGCCATGATGGTTGGGGTTTTAAGAACAGGAGGCGTGCAGAGAGGAGCTTGGAACACGTCTCGTCGTCGCCCACCCTCGAACGGATTCTTCAGGTGTTTCTGAGAAACAAGGAGAGAAGCTGAGCGTGGGGTTCTGATGTGGGCAGTCTTTAAGTTTGAAAGTTGGAGGCGCGCAGAAAGAAGCTTCAGAACAGAGCGCGCAGAGTCGAGTGCGAAAAAAGGGAGCAAATAGACGTTGTAAAACACGTCTCGTCACTGCTTCACCTCCATAGGTCCCTCCGACTACTCTTGTAGGAGGAGGAGAGAAGCTGAGCAGTGCGGATCAGAAGTAGGAAAACTTTGAGTTCACAGAGAGGGAGGCGATAAGCGTGATGCTTTGGCAGAATAACTGTGTTGAGGAGAAAGGTGATTCGACGCGGTAGGATCAAGGTGAAAGAGGTAAGGTCGAGAACTGCAGGACTGGAGGGGAGGCCGTTTGCGCAAGCAGGGGACGGCTGACTCGGTCAGAAAGGCGGGTCAAGTCGGGTTTCCTTCAAAGTTTTACAGCTCCTAAAGTCAACGGGAGCAATGTCGTGTTTGCAGGAGCGAGACTGTTTTAGAAGCGGCACAAGAGCAGCTTTGCCAGTACGATTGTATCTGCATTTATCAAGTAAGCTGAGAACAAGTAGCAACGAACTTCGATTTCCAAAGCCTTGCCGGTGCTTGGATTGAGAAGTAATATGAGGAAGATGCGGCTTACGGGCGTGAAGTGGCAGTCGAGATCCACGTCAGCGCGCGACTTGGGGTCTTTAGCCTTGAGGAAGCGGTACGAGATGTTGACCATTGTCTTGTTCATCTGCACAAAAAAGGTATCAGGAACCATATGTTCGGAACCGACAAGAAGGTGTGGAGAGAAAAGTTGATCGATCCATTTTGCGAGAGGCAGCTTCCTGTAACGTTTTTGCGCTCGGCAAGGCGCAGGAAGACCACGATAAATCTGGATGTATTGGTGCTCAGATCTCTGCGAAAATATACTCAAAACAATAAGAGCAAGAAAAGCGAAAGACCGCGATGAGCAGTCTGCGGACCAGGAGCTCCGTTCCCCTATATCAGGAGCCTTCTTGCTTTGGTAGGAAAGTGGCTGTATCGATCAATGATTCAAGTCTTGAAAAAGAACGGCCAAAGATCCCAACTCTGAAAACAAGGCGTTGAGTGCCTAAGAAACTTCGACGGAACCCCAGATTGGTCTGACGCTTCATCCTGGTGAAAACCCAACTGAATTTCGGGAACGCTTAACATGCAGAGCCCGAAACCCTTTTCAACAGTCTGCTTGATTAAAGTAGTAAAGTCACTAAAAGGGTCTTCCGCAGTACAAGATTTGGCTAGGCGACTCAGTCCTTCAGAATGATGCTGTGTTTATTGACTTTCCTAAGCGGTCTAGAGAAGCTGCCCTTGATGTAAGGACGCTTTATCAGTCCTGGTATCAAACCCATAATGTCCTTACCGCAGGTATACATTCAAAGCCTCCGCCAGTGACGCTGATGAGTGCCAAAGACGCAATTCTGTGGGGCGCCATGGCGGCCAATTTGCAGGCGATCATGCCCCCCATCGAGTGCCCAAACACGTGCGCCTTTTCCCACCCTAGATGGTCCAGCAGGGCGAGGGCGTCTTCCGCCATAATCGTCGTGCTGTGTAAATGATTGAAGTCGTCAATGAAAGTTGGGGTTAATCAGAGTGCGAAAGCAACGAAAGTCATGTCTGAAAGTTTCATTACATAAAACAACGTGATCTGAACAAGTTATGAAGACAGAGGTTGCTGAGAACCCCACATTGCATATGATGAGCGAACAGTCAGATGCCTGTTCATGTCAAGAAACTCTCAAATCCAGACGTCACACAGCCGCTTTGAGATATCGGTTGCATGCAAGCCGGCAGAAATCCAAGGTGCCCCCCCATCATTTGGCTTTCGTCCGTTACTTCATGATGGGGAGATCGGCTATTTAAACGCTCCAGCTTGGAAAAGCATGAACAATGAGACAACGCACCAAGTGATATCCAACAAACACTGACGAATGTGCAGAGGTCTTTCACTCACTTGTAGTCCGACTTCTTCTTTGGGATCGTGCTCCGGCCCACCCCCCGGTTGTCATACGCACAACACATCCGGCCACCCCCGGGAATTGTGGGCCCCCCGTTTGCATCCCCCGACCCACTTGCTTGCTTCGCCCCATCATCCTCACTCTTCCCCGCACCGCCCTTGCTGACATCACCAACGCCCTCACTCTTCTCCGCCCCGCCCTTGCTGACATCACCGACGCTCAACGAACTACCCGACGGACTGAGGCCCACGGAGTCCCTTCTGCCGCTGTCACTCATGCTCTCATCGCTGTCATCGACCTCCAACCCCTCCAGCTCTTCCAGAACCGCTTCCTCCTCTTTTGACGCGTGCACTTTTGAGTCCCGATGCTTCTCGGCTCTCGCATTGTCTTCCAACTCTAGTTGCTCGGTGGCGCTCAGCCTGATGTCGCTTCCTGACAACGAGTGCGTGTTTGGCGAGTTGGGCACGTCTGTGCCCGCCAGTTCTTTCAACTGGTAAGCCCATGCGGCGTGCGTGCCGGCAAGGCCTGCAACGAAAAGATGATGTCAGCTTTACTCTATAAAAAGTCTTGGTTGAGCCAGTAAGGAAGATTAAGACTGGTGAGAAAAGAGAGTCTCAGAGGTGAAAGGCAACATGGGCGAGCATCTGAGTATGACAAGTGGGCCAAAGGGAACACTGGCAGCGATGTTCGCTATCAAGACATTTCCACATTTCTCTGTCCTAATGTCTTTGTCTTTCTCGCTCGCTAACCCGCACAATCAGCTGGATCCAAGATCAGACCCATGGCGATTTGTAAGCTCGGTCAAAGGTACTGTTAAGAGCTGAACTTTGCAAGAAATTGGCAGCAGTGGTGGAAGATATTTTTGGAACCACCTTGCATAGCCAACAAGTGAGAAGCTGCTCAGAATGCAATCTTTTCGTTCAACTACCTGGATGTGAATTATGGTCAATAGCATTGCTTTGGCACCAAAAGCTAGAAACATCTGGTGAATAGGGTCCAAAGACTCCTGAAAAGTCTTCGGTGGTGGCGGACTAGAACAAACCACCTCCAAAGGCTAAACCGAAAGGAGCATGGCTGAGATCGACTCTTGTGATTTCATGAAGCCTTGCCCACTAAGAGGCTACGCTCAGGACCCCACCGCGATCAATCAGACGACCGCCCCACATGTGGAAGCCACGCTAAGAGGGCGATCACATCCAACTTTTAAAGATAATTGATTGCTTTCTTCATTATGGGATGTTTGCTGGGGACCTTTGTAAATGTGGTGACACTCCAAGCATTGTGCAATCAGTCTGGTCGAGCACAGATGGCTCACCATGATCACAAACTCTCTCAGATACCCAGTACTCACTGTGAAACTGGCCAAAATACCTATATCTAAGCACTTCGCAAGCCTGGCACAATTGCATGGGCTTTCAGCTAGGGCCAGATTCCTTTGGCAGGAGTCGGGCGAAATGTCCGCAGAAGAGACTCATAGCAACCTCTCTTTTGTTGGGCACCCACATGCAAGAGCACAGAAGGGCGCCTTCTTGGAAAGGAGCACCCAGGACCACAGATGAGCTTCTTACCCATAATCAAGAGGCATTTTGCGTCCCCGCTTCCGTACAACTCGTAAAACAGGTTGACTGGCCGTGTCTTCTTTCCCTTGGCCCGCTCATGCGACACCTCCAGGAACGGCATCTTGCAAGAGGCGCCTTAACGCAGTAAGCGATTGCTCTCACCAGCGTGCTTGATAGAAAGATCTAGGTGCTAAGTGGCCCAGACTGTTAGGAATCTGGAGAAACTGCACCGTGCAATGCTACAGGTCTATTCAACCAATTTTGTGCAATAAACTTGGGGCGGAGCAAAAACCCCACGAAGAACGCGCCTACAGCATTACAAACTTTGACTGCAAACCATAGATTACGGAGGACCCTTCTCCACTACTCTCTCAAAGGATCCCCTTGGCAGTCTATGAGCGCAACCCTGGAAGAAATTGTCTCGAGGTTGTCGCCAAGGGGAAGATTCTCAGAAGAAAAGAACTCCCCTTTACAAGGCTGCATTGGTCAATCATGGAAGTGCAACTGCAAGATGCAAGCCATGCTCGCAACTGCGCTCCTTGCCGGAAAGACAATTGTCCAGTCAAAGGCTCGAAGCACACGTCATGCAGCATTTCGACGAAAATCCATGTGTTGACTTCCAGATGCGGCACTAAATGCGACTACATCGAACGGCATATGCAGCGTCGCCTTCATGATCGACGGACAGGAAACTAGATGCTGCCGATCGGGTCTCTCACTCTCCCAAGAGATCGGCAGCATCTAGCATAGGTACTCTCACCAGTACACTCTGGAAGCTGGATTCTGTGCAGTGCGCGGAACCACCATGCACTCGACACCAAACGGGATATTGCCTGGATATTGTTGTCGGCCTATCAGCCGGAACGGTCCTGGCTCCTCACATGCAGGCCCCCATCATGGTCCGCAACTGATTACGCACTGATAAGAGCTGGACCTAGCTATTAGCTTGATCCAAAGGTACACAGATTCACAATATATATATGTTGTATATCTACCATTGTGTGCATATATATAATCTACACGCACGAGCTGGTTGTCATTGCTTGCGATTGGCCCGATCGTGAAACGGACTACCAAACTTGGATCATTGATTTGCACTGGATGCATCATGTGACACTTCGATTGTACACCCAACCCTTTCACACGCGCAGATTCATACTAGCCTCGTAATTGGTGGCATACGTGTAGCAGTAGCTGATTTGTGTCAGTCAGGCGCGCACGAAGTTTCAACAGGCTTTGGGTGTGATCAAGACCATTTCATACACTAGTATGAACACGCCCGCGGCCTTTATGCAGTGAAAACCAAACCCAAAAGCACAACGGCAGCTGATCAGCGGCCGTTGGACGATCCACGTACGTCATGACCAAGGTGCGTTTCTTGTTTGTTACGGATTGAATTCTAAGATTTCGAGGCAGTGTTCTCAGTGAGTGACTGGAGCGCTGAAAATGGTTGTCTCTCAACGTCGATCCGTGCTTATCTCGTATGTACAATTGATTGGTGCACGGGAAGCCTGCTCTTCCTGTTCTGACATCTGAGCGCTCTGCAGATTTGTGACTCACTCTACACGTTTTGTACTTGACTCTAGTCTGCGACCAAAAATCTACTAACGACGAACTGTATCTGATCATTTTATAAAAGAGGAATTGCTAAGAGCTTTTTTCTCCGGTCTTTGTCTCTGCCTCATCAGGGGCTCATGCCGCAGATGCGCGATTTCGACTATTGTTACACTCCCGACACACATCTATTTTTATGTAAATTTCGTCTTTGAGCACTCACATGAATTCTATACTACTCTCACCACCGGTGTATTGACAGCTTATTATGTGGGTTGAGTCCTCTATCTACAAAACTCTGGCCGCATGTCGATCAGGTTTAGCGGGACGTATCTGTGAAGTCGGCGTCGATCACCGGGCCCTCTTCGTCCCCTCCAGCCGACCCGGGGGATCCCCCGTTAGGTCCGGAACCGGTTGCTTCGGGACCACCGGGAGACCCTGCGCCTTGCTGGTTGTACATTGACTGGCCCACCTGCGCCATCGATAACGTCATTACGGATCAGTCTCGCCCCGTGAATTTCGGGCCCGACATTATGGTGTTATTTGGCCGTACGAAGCACGGGTGCTTTGAAAAAGCCTCGCCGTGTTTTATGAATCAGGGAGGTGTTAGACGATTGCTGCTCGCACATGCTACCCTGGTGGAGACCTAAGAAGCGATTCGGCACTTGAGATCGATGATGTAATGTACATGATCTTACGATATTGCTCAGCAGGTCGAATCCAAAACGGACGAGCAATCTTTTTAACCGGGACTTGATGATTTGAGGACTCTGAAAGAAGCCATGCATTGGAAAACGAGCGTTAGGAGAAAGATGACGAATACTGGCGAGAACTGCCAATGTCGAAGCGCTTTCAAAGCAACTAAACGCACTTGAAATAATGTGGAGGGGCACAACTGACAACCTTTATACCGGCACTTTCAAACGAATTCTAGATGGCAGAGGAATTCCAAAAGCTTCAGCACTTTGTTCACGCGCGCACACCTGCATGATGGCCTGTTGCAGCTCCTCCTGCGCCCGCTTCTGCGCTTGCACGTCCTCCCCTTTGAGCGCCTCTTTCACCGCCTCGATCTTGGACTCCACGTCGGCTTTCACGTCGGATGGGATCCTGCGCGGATGTTCGCACTGTGAGTCCACTTTCGAAAAGCGAAAAAAAGTGCTTGACCGGTCTCGATCTTGATTATAAGTCTAAGTGCTGCGCCGTTCAGAATTGCTTAAGCGGAAGAAGCGTGCTTGTTTGTTCCAACAACTAGGCATCAGTTTACCCGCCAAATCCAGTCACCGGACCTCATACCTATACTTCGACCAGACCTCAAACCCGTTCTAAACCAAACCCAAACCCGAACCCGAACCCGAACCCGAACCCGAACCCGAACCCGAACCCGAACCCAAACCAAAACCCGAACCCAAACTCAAAACCCATCCCAAACCCAAACCTTTTGAATAGAGGATAGGGACGCGCTGAGCCCGCTCACCGGTCGGCGAACTCCTTGAGCTGCTTCTCTGCCTGGTAGACCATGCTCTCGCCCGCGTTGCGCGTGTCGATCGCTTCCCGCCGCGCCTCGTCCTCCGCTGCTCGAGCCTCCGCCTCTTTCACCTGCAAAGCAGATTCTCCGCTAAGCCACCCAAAGATCCGATGTTCCAAATCTTCCTTCAGAATATGGTCGGCATAGTTACCGCTCAAGTCTTGCATCTCTACATTACTCTCAAGCGCAAGAGAGGTTGCTTGAGATTACTGGATTTACTCTGATCTTGACCAGATATTCTCAAAGACCCTGAATTACAAGGAGTGATAACCCATCACCTTCAGCTTTAAACCTGGAAAGAGTGGTAACGTGGAAAGCATGACCTTCAATAACCGGTTTATCGAACTTCAGCGGAACCACGAAAGCTTTTCATACGAAACATCCCCCAAACGTCAAATCCAGCCAACAGGTATCTACTGGGCCTGTAGACTTTACTTGGAAAGGCCCAGAAGCATTGCGGGTATTGGCACGGACCCAGACTCTGCGCCCTTACCATTCTTTCCACTTCGCTTTTGTCCAGCGTGCTCGCCCCCGTGATTTTGATCTCAGACGATTTGCCGGTGCCCTTATCGACCGCCGTCACGTTGAGGATGCCGTTCGCGTCGATGTCGAACGTCACCTCGATCTGGGGGACGCCACGTGGCGCCGGGGGGATCCCCTCCAGCCTGCATGCGGCAGATACGTTTGTCGTTTATATTGCACGGAATAAGAGGGGGAGGGAAGTCGGACTATAGGTTAGGTTCATAAGGCGAAGACAACAGGGTCTCTTACCATCAACTTGAGCAACGCGGAGCACCGGGTTTTATGGAGAAAGGGGAAGTAAGTCCCTTCTACCGCTGTGGCAAAGAGAAACGGCAGAACGGCAGAACGGCTGGAAACGACGTATCCAAAAAGTGATGAGAAAAGAGATTTAAAAATAAGAAGAACGGTCTTCAAAAGCCATCACCGAGCAGCGGCCACTACTCTCGATCCGCAAGCCACGCAAAACGTTCTCTCCTTGTGGGCCTTCCGATACAAATTCATGACAATAATTTTGATGAATCTCAGAACTGAAGCCGACAACAAAATAAAAAAGCGGACTGGTCGTCTCAAAGCGGTACTTGGACATCAGAAGCGGCCTTCTGCTTTGTAACAGCCAAAAGTTGGTATCGAATTCAATAATATTGATTCTCGATCTGACACTTTCCGCAGAATCAGCGATTGACTGCTGATGGATCCCACCGCAGAATGACTGGAACAGGGGAACAGGCCCACCTCACCTGAAGCAACCAAGCAGGTTCTACCCGCAGCAGGCTGTGCTGCTTGCAGAACGACGATACTCGCGCTGTACTGAAAGTCGGCGGCAGAAGCAAAGCGTGAATCACCTGAGAAGAGGGACGGAGCACCGAAACGGAAAGTACTCACCGGAAACGGCCAAGCAACTCATGGGCAGCCAGGCTTGCAAAAGAAGAGGCCCACGTTCGCTAGCTATCAGCGGCCGAAAGAAAAGGCAAGTAAGACATGAGTGACGAAACATGTTCGGATCGGAACAGCGGAACGCGGAATCCGCTCCCCGGAAGCGGCCAAGCGACTTAGTTTCGGCAGTCAGGCTGCGCTTGCCTTGCAAATAAGAGGTCCACGCGGGGGTGGCTGTCACGGTGAAAGCGTTATCGGGTAAGACATAAGAGACAACGACAACGAAACGAACAGAGACATGGGAACCCGCTCACCGAAAGCGGCCGCGGTACTTGTTCTCCGTACCCAGGCTTGCGCTCGACTTGCAGCACGAAGATGTCCACTCTAGGCTGACTGTCAAATGGCGTTGGCAACACGATTCTGCGCCAGAGGAAACAACAAAGTACAAAAAGCAAAAGGAAAAGTGGAGCAGAATAACTTAACGGAAAGCCACCCACCGGAAGCGGCCGAGCGACTTGTTGTCCGCAGCTAGGCTGCGCTCGCCTTGCAGCACGACAATGTCCACGCGATGACGACTCGTCGGCGGCCGCGGAAATCTTAACAACAAGAAAGAAGGAAAAAAACGAAACCTGACTGGAACACAGTACAATGGAACAGAACGGAACGGAACCCACTCACCGGAAGCGGCCGAGCGACTTATTGTCCGTGGCCAAGCTACGCTCCCCTTGCAGAACGACGATGTCTACGCTGGGCTGGCTGTCGGCTGCCGTGGAGAAGGTCTCTTTCTTACTGCTGGGTACGGTGGTGTTACGCGGGATGAGTTTTGTCATGACGCCGCCTAGCGTTTCCAGGCCCAGCGAGAGGGGGGTCACGTCCAAGAGCACGATGGACTTGACCTCGCCAGACAGAACACCCCCCTGAATTGAGAACACGGTGATTTAGTTGGAATCAGATCGAACATGGTTGTTTAATAATTGTTTAATTCGGATGGTAGATGACGATTGCCGTCGATCTTAGTGAGTGCAAAAGAAAATTAAAGGTCTGCGCGGAGCACGATGACTTGACCCCACCCGTGAGGACCACCCCTGAAAGAAAGAAATATTTTCCAAATCGCACACCGTGTGATCAGCGGCCAATTTGCAGAGACTGCTGGAGCGGGCGTCACATCTAGAAGCTAGAGCACAATTCGGCATGTCCTCCCCAAACAGGACACTCCCAGAAAAGAAGCCGGCCAGATCCGCGCTCGTGTGGCCTCAGCACACTCAGCGCAGTGCGTTCATACGGTGCTAAGTACGACTGTAGTATCTGCATCGAGAAGGAAGCTTGATTTCAGGCCGCCCTGGTAGTAAGACAAAGTAGTGAAAAGGATAGGTAGTAATCAGTTTGGTTTTCAGGGGTAGGCTACGTATCGCCCGTCACGCAAAATGCTCAACGCTAACGGTTCCGTCAAGGAGATTACGTGCAATTGCGCGCCGGTTCCCTGACGAAATTAGACTGCCTTTCGAGAGTCCCTGTACCCTATTTGGACATTACCCCCGTCTTAACGTCGGGATAACTATGAAGATCCTGACGAGATAGTAAGCGCTCTTACCTGGATGGCCGCACCCAGAGCCACGACCTCGTCCGGGTTCACCGTCGCGTTCGGCTCCTTGCCTGTCATGTCCTTGACGATCTTCTGAACGGCGGGGATGCGCGTGCTGCACGGAGCGAGAAACAGGCTTGAGCCTGAGGGAGCGTAGGACTAGCGTGGCATCGAGGCACGGGCTTCAGCATCAGTGTTGCTTCCAAGAATAAGTCGTCGAAGGAGTAGGGCGACCAACATAGCTGTCTACGGGCTTCTATGTCGCTCGACGCAACCGATTGTCAGCACGCCCTTGCTATGAGGGCAAGTCAACAAGCCTACCAAGGAAAAGTAAGGACGGGGTGTACCGGGTATTTGCCCTCTATTAAATGCTTTGGATGCCAGAACGTTTGTCTACAAGAAGCAGGCGGCAAGACGTATGCGGAGGCTGCAGTCAAGGGCCGGGAATGAGAAAGGCACAAGTTGGCATCTGGGGATGGACGCACAAAGTTCCTGACTGTTGGATCACACTAAGGGAACTTGACGGAATGTGAGTTTCTGAAGAGTCCAGTCAGATTGTTACCAGAGGAGATTTTTCGGCGCTTCATTCTGACTTTTCTTCACTTGACTAATTTTTTGGTCTCGTGCAAATTCAACCCGGGCCTTGACCACGACGAAAAACTCATCTGCTCATTGTAATTGCTGGAAAAGTGAGTCAGAAGCCGCACTTCCAAACAACGGGAGCTACTGTTTAAAGATAATCTTCCGGTATGAAACGGGCATTGAGAGTAGATCAGAACAGGACACACCTACCAGATATGCATCACTTCAGCCCTAAACCCTTTGCTCACACGTCAATCTTGCTGACGCGGTTGAAAAGAGACAATCCATGCAAAGGCATGAGAAATTTTTTATCCAGGAGGGGATCTCTCTCTCTCTCTGCTATGTAGGCAGCTTGAACACCGACAAAAACGATGGTGGACTGGAGATCGGCCTTCAGACTGTGTGGTAGTTGACTGAGCCCGAAATGTATCGCTCAGTGGTTCCTGCGTCATGGCCGTTTGATGTGGGCAGAAAAATATACCAGTATTGGAAGAAAGGCAAGATTTGCTCCTTGACCTTCCCAGCAGGTTTGCAACGCACCGTTTGTGACGTGCAAGTGACGAAAAAAAGTCTGACACGCGCTTAATCGAGTTGCAGCAAACAAGACCCAGACCATAATCTTCCAGAACCAAAAGGCTTGTCCTCGGCACACAAGACAGCTAAAACGGTCGACGAGCTGCATTGTGTTCGAGAGAACTGCACTGTGAGATAGTTGTGACGGACGGCAAAATCAGGGCTCCATGAAGCGTACCTCATCGCTGGCAACCCCTCATTGCCCGCTGACGCATTCTCATTGCCCTGAGGCCAGAGCCGTAACTAAAAATGGCATTCACAAAACCTGTGAAGCAGGAAACCAGCGGGTGCCAACGAGAGATAGTAAAAGTACGAAACACTGCAAAAACAAAGTTGCTGCCTCCGGCGTATTCCTCCGCGTCTATGGTGGCCGCAGCCAGCATGAGTTGCTCCACTGAGGAGAGGGATCATCCCGACCGGATGCGGGTTGCTTATGGTCCAGACTTCGAATATAGCTCCCAAAATTGAGGAGAGCCGAATCGCAGTCGGATGAGTAGCCCGCGTTGCAAGGGAATGTGTGAAGTCTCAGGGGCGACGTTCACAGTGTATGCCAATTCGACAAGTCAAAGATCAAGCACAGGAGAAGGAAAGGAAAGGGAAGGCAAGCGCTTGGTGCGAACTCATTCCTGAACTCATTCCTGAACTCATTGTCAAAGTAACATTGTTGAACTGCAAGGACTTTTGAAAAAAGAAGAATTTTCTATCAGGAGAACGAAGTGGGCTTGCTGATAGGTACAATTTCGGTTCAGACCAAGAACCCTGTTCTCTATCGGTGGGCGTCGACCGTAGAGCAGTCAAGAAGGCAACCCCACATGTTTACCTTGTTCAAGAAGTGGCTCCAGAGATGAATCAGATTTGACCACATAGATTGTCAAACTTCCTTCTCTCACAGCCCCATGTTGTGCGGTAGAAAGTTTGCTAAGGAGATCAAATATAGCTTTGCCAAGGTTTTTGAAAGATCCGGTGTACGCGATGATGAGAAAGAGACATGCTTTCTCCTCTGGAGACAACAACGCAAGCTGGTTGCCCGTGCTGCTCAAACAACAACAGTAGCGAGTTAGCCCAATGTGCACCAAATCTCTTTTGAAATTGAATACGTAAGGAGGATTGTACTTCTAAGCTGGATCAGTCCCGCCAGCGTTGCATTGGTGGCAGACTTGGTTGAAGTTTTATCCGGTCCGGTCCTCTCTGATGCGGTAAATGCTCTTGTCCAAAACATGTCGGTTCTCGTCCGGACTTCGTCCTCAGGCAGAAAACAATCAGAAAGAAGTTGCCACAGCATCCTTTAGCACACTCTTTGCTCTTCAGCTTGGGTGTCCAAGTAAAACAACGAGCTTTTCAAACATCATTGCCGTGCAGCGAAAAATCAATAGGGTCCGGACTCCAAAAACGTACACAAAAGAGCACTGAAAGGGCAAAACATACCAATCACGTCTTTGCCTTCATTGCTTCATATGAAAGAACGAACAGCTCCATGATTCATCGACCTGCTTAAGAGAGGCACCATTTCCTGGAGGCGTTCATGGCCAACCTGGCCACAAACACTGGAGTCCGCAAATGAGAAGAAGAAAGATGGAAAAGGTATCGTAAGGAAGCAGGATGGCAGGAGGAGGGGAAAGGGTCAGTAAAGGGCTTACGTGCCTCCCACGAGCTTAACTTCTCTCAGTGCCTTTCATCAGTTCGCCCGTAAACATTAAGAGTCCCTGCAATAGCAAAACGAATACAAAAAGAAGATGGAAGGAGGATTATCGGAATTAGACGAAGGAGAGACAACAGCTAATTCTCACCTTCCTCCCACAAGCACGACCTCTTGGATGTCCTTGATGCTCAGCTTGGCGTCCGAGAGCGCCGTTTGCACGGGCGTCTTGACGCGCTCCAGCAGGTCAGAGCACAGTTCCTCGAACCTGGGCGGCAAAAGAAATGTGCGTTAATCTGAGCCGGTAATCTGAAGTACTAAGTTGTAGCATTGCGAATTCTTGAACATCATTTCGTAATCTGCAGCAACTTAACAAACAGCTGAACAAATGCGTTTAGTAGATCTCTGGTGCGTGTCAGAATCAATCCACTGGTTGAACGCGGATCAAGAGGATCGGATGCCGTAACGACAGAAGACAGGGGATTGTTTGCCCGAACAATCAATCTCAAATTCAGGATGAATGATGTTGACAACACGGCTGCCATTCATAAGGCAACCAATATTTGGAGTGGCCAAAATAAGGTCGACGAGCAGGCCCTGGTTTGTTTGCTCCGTCACTCAACACATCTGGAAGCAGCACCGAAGCGTCCAAATGTGATCCAACGGCCTCAGTTCCTGCAATAAGCCAAACAGGCAGACACCGTCGTTGCAAAGCTGCAGGGAATGTGTCTAGCAAACGTCCTCTCCTTCCTCTTCGAACCAACATACTCGTATTCCTTCAAATTTACTTGCCGCCAAAGAAGAAGCCATTCCCTGACCGCACGCTGTCTAGGGACTTACTTTGCGCGCGTGAGCGTGATGTCGATGTGTTTGGGCCCGTCGGAGGTGGCGGTGATGAACGGCAGGTTGATGTTGGTCTGCGTCAGCGTGGACAGCTCGATCTTGGCCTTCTCCGCAGCCTCCGTCAGCCGCTGCACGGGTGACGACAGACACACGTCAGCTCTGTGTCTCTGGTTCAACTTGGAGTGGGGCCATTGTCAAAGCTGCGACTCTATTCAAGTTGGTGCTGTGGTTTCGTTTGTGCAGAGATTGCTGCTTGCAACAGACGCCTTCGCTCTCAACGTGAATGCCGATCTGAAAACGCTAGGCCAACCGATCACCGCACGTTATTAGTCACACCGACGTCGCTTTTCATAGAATAGGATAGAGCCAAGACGACAACGATCTCGCGCAAGAAATCGACAGTCGGGAACGTTAAGAAACGGGCTCTCAATCTGACCAGGCGATAAATCTACAGATTGTTGCACGCAACAAATGCTACTCAGCATCCATTCTGCATTACTGCAAGCGTGAGTCTACAGAACTTACTGCTCCAGCCTAGAGTCAAGCCGTCCCTTCGATACACCTTACACTTCGTAACGGCAACTGGTGTTCATAGCTGCACCTGTCTCAAACTGCGCGGCAAAAAGGTGGCAGATTCAGTCAATCTGAAGAGAGAGTTACTCATGCCCGTCAGCATGACGTCATCATCCGCGCGCGCACCTGCAGAGCCTGCTTGTCTTTGGAGAGGTCGATGCCCTCGTTGTTCTTGAACTCCCGGATGAGGTAGTCCACGATCTTCTTGTCGAAGTCGTCTCCGCCCAGGTGCGTGTCACCGGATGTCGCCAGCACCTCGAACACACCGTCGCCCACCTCCAGGACTGTGCGCAGAATGCGGGACACTCGTCAGCGTCAATGCTGACGTTAGCTGCCGGACTAAAACCCAGTCAGGAAGCTCAGTAGATGAGAAGATGATTGGCGTGTACTTTTGACCAATTTGAAAACACCGTCGCCCAGCTCCAGGACTGCGCGCGGTGCAAAAGTTTACTGGTGTTAAAGCAAAAGTGTCAACAACCGGCTGACAGGAAGCACACCCTTACAATTGAACTCGTTGGAAGCTCTCAGGGCACACAGTCAGTCATCACCACTATCCGCCAGATTGCAAGACTGGCTTTAAGTCCTGGATGACGTCAGCAACAGGCTAGCGTTGAACATTCTAAGTGGGCTTTTGCGCAGATTGCTTGACCATTTGGCGTCCTTCGCTTTCGTGTCTGATGTGTAAGCAAACATGAACGGTATTTGCCCATTATTTCGCAAGTTGAGAAGCCGTTCGGAATGACACGTGCCACACAGATAAAGAAGCTACGACGAGCCGAAGGAAGCCATAAGGAGCCAAAGGTTCTCACTTGAGACGTCGAAGGTGCCGCCCCCCAGGTCGAACACGAGGATCGTCTCGTTCTTCTTCTTGTCCAGGCCGTACGCGAGACTGGCGGCCGTCGGCTCGTTGATGATGCGGATCACGTCCAGACCCGCGATCCGCCCAGCGTCCTGCACGTGTGGAACCGCCTCGTCATACTGACTTTAGTTTCTTTTGAGCTTACTTCCTTTGCACTCTTCTCTTCTGCGCCTTGAAATTCACTTGACAGATGCAATCGGCGGTCTTCAGACTACAGCCCTGGCAGATGCACTGAGGCAACCGGTGGAGAGCAAGCTGTAGGACTGAAAGCAGTCAGCGGGCAGGGGCACGCCAGTTATTGGTCGCCGTCATTCAATTTGTCTGTGCACGTCTATCTCCCAACATACTGAGATTGTCGAGCCGCTTTTACGGGTTACCTCACAATGATGCAAGCATTGCGGAATTGGTGAGCGCACCCTGACGCGCTCGTCAGGGTTCGTGCGTTGACTCTGAAAGTGACTCGGGCTGTGTCCAATGTTTTGAAAGCGGGAATACCCCATGTCCTTTGTTCGTCGTAGGCCAACAGCCAAGTCCCAGAACGTTCAGAGAGGACGACGAGCAGCTTCCCACTACCGCATGATCGAGAAATATATTGCGAATGATACTCGAACAGGTAACTGCTTACCTTTGTGGCTTGTCTCTGGCTATCATTGAAGTACGCCGGGACTGTGATGACTGCTTTCTTGACGCTGTCGTTCAGGAACTTGGTGGAGTCGTCGGCCAGTTTCCGCAGCACCTGACATGGAAGACCCGTCAGCACCTAGTGTGAGAGCCCGCACAGCTCTACTCATGCCAAGCCTTTAATTGGCGGAATGGCAATGGCTCAAGAGGGCAGGATAGTAGCTCTCTAGCAGCAAGCTGCGGAACATTTGTACGTCCGGAGAAAGAAGTACCTTCTCCTCGGCCTTTTCACGACCTTGAATACTTTCCCTCTGTCAAGCTCCAATCAGGCAAAAAAGAATCAGTCTAGCTGTTGACTAAACCATTCTGAAAGAAGAAGAAACGACTTTACACAGCCCAAACTCCTTTGGACTTGAAAAGCTCTGTAAAAACTAGACGAGCGTCCAGATCGACCAGATGAAATAGCTCACTTCTGCCGATATCTCCTCTGGCGAGAAGAGCTTCCCGAGGGCGGGACACTCGAGCTTGATGTTATCGTCCTTGTCGATGACCACGTGGTACGTCACTTGCTTGATTTCCTCCTTGACCTCCCGACCCTTGCGCCCGATGAAGCGCTTCACGCTGTAGAACGTGTTCTCGGGATTCACCACAGCCTGTTGGTAAATGTTGTATGAGCGTTCGGATTGGGTGGTGTGGATCAGAAGACCTTATTCTCGTTGTTCTGTCGCCATCTTTACAAATAAGCTGGTTTTAGCTGTCAAGAAGTGTGCAAAGTTTGCAAGTGACGGCTGTGGAACTCTACGTAACCCTTCCTCTTAATATTGAGACTATGTAGACGGTTGCAATCGTAGGACGACAGTGCACAAGGGGACACGTTGCTTCGGGCTGGCTTCAGTCTGATACCAGATCTGGTAAGTTGAAACGGGCGGCTCTCCTCCCTTTCTGGAGGGAAAAAGTTGCCATGCTAGGAAGGTGACAAAATGAGTAGACAATTCTCACACGCAGCAATATGATGGAAGAGATCAAAGTAAAGCTAAGTGGGCATTGATCAGCTGAAACTTGAGTTGAATAGGAGTAAACGTGCTAGAGATCACTGTCTCTTGTTGCCTGGGGCTGTGACAAATAATCCGGGGCAACTGTCAGCTCAAGGAAGGGTCCTGTTTTTGAAAGATCACCCACTGATACGGGTTGGCTGACTTCAAAATCAAAACCCCAGCTGCAATTCAGTAAAGTCCCACAATTGCAACATTGTGTTGTTCGAGAGACTGGTAGTCCAGAACTCGAGCAGTCAGTTGCACACAGCAATGGGATATCTTCTGTTATCTTATTGCAGGAGACGAGCGGCCCCATGAAATAGGATGCAGAGTCTTTGTACCGGCATTGAGGGTTGACATGCTGGAGGGATTCAACGTCCCTCCGACTTTGGTACGTGCCAGCTCCTGCAGAGGAACTGAGAGCAAGGCTCACCTGGCGCTTTGCGATCTGCCCAACCAGTTTCTCCCCCTTCTTGGTGAATGCAACCACTGACGGTGTGGTTCGTGAGCCTTCCACATTGGGAATGATAGTTGGTTTTCCACCCTCCATTGCGGCCACAGCACTGCAGAAGAAACAAAAGCTTCAGTTCTCAATCTTGTCCTGCAATGCGACTTCTTTTCTGATTGACCAACCAAGGACACCCTCCAATTCGTATCATTCCTGGTCTTAGTACAAAGTGGGCAAATAGATGTAGCTCTTCTGGTCAGTTCAAAGAGATTTAAAGCAATCTAAAGATATATAGTCATATTTTTTAAGGCAGTCCAGGAAGTATGACATGTACCAGAGATGAGCTCAGACGTTCACCTGGGCAAGTCGCGGTGGGGACAGAGTTGAAGGCTTGCAGGTGTTTTGATCGCTGTCTCAACCAGAAGCTAGCTCAGGACTCTGGATAATATTCAACAGATCACTGTTCTGGCATGTATATCTCCAGAAATATTTCAGATCACATGTAAGCAGGATTGAATGCTTACATGCATTCTGACATACTCATTGGTGGTACAAAGTGTAAACCAGTGTAAAAGTATACGTTCAACTTGAGCTGAAAGGAGAATGATCTTCTGACCATGCACAAGTTCGGTGCCGCCAAGCGGGTTCTTCTATGTTGACAGTGTTATGCTAATGTGCTTGACGCGAATGCTGGAGCTCAGGCTCAGCTAGGAAGATGTGCGATCAGAGATTCTCATACATGCTCTTTCAATATTTGCATTGACCGGTATGTCACATGATCGCAATGCACACCAATGCACAAGCAAGCCTTTCTCCTCACCTGTTGGTTGTACCAAGGTCAATGCCAACAACCTTCTCTGCCACCACACGAAGGCCTCCTGCCCTGCTTGCCTTCCTACTACCAATATGAGCGTGGAACTGGAATGCAGCAGCATTGCCAAGAAAGTCCTGGCGTGCGGTTCGACCTGCAATGTGACCCTTTCGGTCTAGCCTGTGATGGGACACAGAACAGCGAGCCGCGGAGAAGGAGGCCGCGTTCAATGCCATGCTTTGCGCCATTGCTTCGCTCGCGACGTGCGTCGATTGGACTTTTCTGAAGACAACTAACAACGAGGACGGACAGCTGCACTGCCGTTGCAGACTCTCTAGAGATGCTAGCTGCTTTTAGCCGCATTTGCCTCAGGCTCCCTCCCATATGGAAACGCAACCGTGAAAGCTTTTGCTGCTTGCATTGAGCCGGGTTTTCTAGAAGCTTTCTGGTTGGCGACAAGTGGCGCCAGTTGGCTCAGGCTTGCCAAAAGTGAAATGTCATCGGGCTTCCTAACCGTCGATGATACTTTGCCACACGCATTCGACGGCTTGTAGAATTTGTAGCGAACAATGATGTCCAACTGGCAAGTTTCGATGCCGCACTGGCAGTTTGCTGCCAGAACCTGCTGGAATGTCGGATGTCCCCCGTCCTAGTTCGCAGCTCGTTTTGCCAGAAGAACGAAGAGCTCTCTCTAGAGTCTAGGGAGGCCCATTTTCTCTGCTGGTGGTGCTCACGGTTACGGCTGCTGTAATTCTCAAATTGAAGCAATGCACGCTGCTATTCGTGGAAGTGCCAGAAACACTTCTTTAATAAAGCTACACAAACTCTGTCGGCCGAGGGAAAGTGGGCGACAGACCGAGGTTGGGGAGATCTTCACTTGTCCCCTGGCATCATCTTCTCGTCTTTGCTTTCGTCTTTCATTTCAATCTGCATACCTCTGCACCAATTCAAACAGTCAGCGGCATAGATTGCTGGTGAAAGCAGCCCGGAAGGAAAGCTCGGTAGATAAAGCCACCTTTGAAGAGTGGCTTGCAGCAAACCCCTTGCCTTCCGCAGCAAGTTATCAAGTTCAAAGCCCTGAACGGAAAGCTGAGGAGGTTGTCCTCTCAAGTTCATCACAGGAGCTGATTCATCGGTCTGATTCAGGGGGGCTTAATGAACGAGCCAGCAAACAGAAAGGCGAACTTGACCGACTGGAACCACAGTGGTGTGACTCAGCATTGTCTGTTCAGAAGGGGGAAAGTGCGCACATTGTGCCAGCGCTTTTAGTTCAAGCTCCTTCCGTTGATTGGTCAAAGATTCAAAATGGGGCGCCGACAGTGCGCTCTCATTTCCTTGACAGTCTAGGACAAAGCAAAAGGTCGAGCGGCAGCCATGGTCACTGGAGAAGCTTCAGTTGGAAGGAGACAGGAGAATCTCTGCAGCGGTTGCTACATCAGGGAAGGCAGCTGTATTGGTGTCCTGAGAGCAGGAGCTTTGTAGAGGTGGATCTGGACACTAGAGCGCCAGTCTTTTGCTTTGTGCCACCAAGTATGCAGAGTTGGGGAATGAGACAAGGCGCTATCTTAAGTGTTGGGCACTTCCTCGACCAGCTTCAACAAAGTCACGAGTCTGCTCAAGGGAAAATCAGTTTAGCCCAGCAAAAGTTGCATCAAAGACAAGCGGGATCTGTGCAGCCTACAGCAGGAGAGGAATCCATGGAAGAGACTGGATTACAGGGGAGCCAGAATCGTCCTGAGTTGCAAGCTCCTGAGCTTCTGACGGTGCAGTCTTCGGATGATTCTCGTGAGGACGGAGTGTCATTCTCTGATTCAATGATTCAGACCTTGGATCAGAGCCCTGAAGACCCTTCACATTCAATCAGCCTGGCGGCCCCGACCAAAGCAGGACCGAAACAGCTCAGAAGGGTAAGAAGGCTGTCACTTCTCCGCCGGAAGGAGAAGCATCTGGTGATATTGCTGACGTCAGCAGCGGCAGCGCTGTGCATCTGGGAGGATGGGCAGCTGGTGCGGCACAAAGTGATCACCGCTTACACGGTGCGCGCAAAGCAGGGCAAGTCGCAGCTGAATCACATGAGGGGGAAAACGGGCGGGGGGCTGAGCGTAGGAGGGTCGTTGCGGATGCAAGAAACTGCCCGCCTCTTTATTAGAGTCAACGAGGTGAGGTGATTCAAAGTCAGTGAGGTGATTGACTGTGGCTGCTCGTTCAGACCCCATAGAAGGGGAACACGGGGCTGCCCTGGAACCTCCCCGTGCTAAAAGCCCATCCATTCGAAGGCCCTATTCAGTCGCTGATGTTAGAGGCCAGGCAGCCTTCTGAAGGTAGCTTTCAGAATCCACATTCTTCATTCGCCAAGTTTTGCAGGCCCTTGTTACTTGCGGGATCGTTTCGAAAGATCTCAGGAGACTTAGAGAGGAACGAATCTACGATCCTCAGGGAGTACTCCACTTGCGTTTAGCCCCTTTCGAGCAGTGAGAGCCACTGATCCCTTTCTACTTCTTGCGCTCCAGGCCCTCTGGTTTCAGATGATGCGTACGCGCTGTTGCGAAGCTCCCAAGCAAGCATTGTTCCGAAAAAAAATCATACGGACGTTCCTGTTCTTGCAGAAGCTGACGGAATGGGCTGACGCCCTCGAGGGCTGCGGAGCTCTTTTTCACAGTGGCCCGATCCGCGCCTGGAATGAGGTTGGCCCCGACACCTTCCACGTGGATTCGACCATGCAACGTGGATGTTCGCTGATTGGTAGCAGGCTTGTGTCCCTGAAAGTTCGATTCGTATCTTCCTTCCTTCTTCTCTCGTCGTCTTGGCGACCAAACTCCCCACGTTCTTTGCGTGAGCGGCTCTTTTCGTGCTGCACTCCAATCAAATAATAGGACCCCACTTCCAGAGAAGGTCTATCTCTATTTGGCAACCATGTCGCAACTCCCACTCGTCATGCAAGGCCTTCCTGAACGTCGCCAATCAAGGAAATTCGCCTAACCAGCGCCCCGCTTTATCTGAACACTGGAGCTGACCTCAGGAAATAGGGACCTGGTTGCGGAAGTGGCTACTTTGGCGAAGAGTCAGGTTCAAAGTTGTGTGCGTGTTTGCAGGTCTTCTCGTGTCGTGATGTGCCATGTCCGCTGGATCGAAGGGACCCTCGATGGGTGCGCGTGGGTCTGAGCACACAAAAGCCGAGGCTGAAAGAGCTGCAAAGGTGGGCTCTCCGGTTGGGAAAAGCTGCCCTGCTCAGCCTTCAGTTGTAGTTTGCAATCAGGAATTATTTAGGCACTTGATTTACAACATGACGGTTCCGACGTTCGTGAGGTTGCAGTCATCGTTGTTGTATGGGCTGGATTCAGGACTAGCTCTCTAGTCCTGAATCCACGTAAGAAATCAATGGTCTGCAAGGAGATTTTGGAGATTGTGCGGGTGTCACTGTACATACTGAATACTGAGGATCGATATGCTTTTGCAGGATATGCTACATCCTGAGCCATGGTGCGATGGGCCCAATCGACTGAGAGCGTTGGCTTTCATACTTGCGGGGTGCTTGTGTTTCGAAATGAGCCTGGGTCAGCAATTACAACGAATCTAATACTCGAGTCAGGTTTGTATTAGCATGTTGCTCAATAGGCCCCCGAAGAATCTTGCACATTCGACATGCCGGTGGCCCCCTGTTACGCTTTGACGGCGATTGAGGAGAAAACTCGTGAACGACCGAGTTGGTCGTCGGATCATATCATGGAAGCCTGCAGACAAGTTTCAAAGGTCAACCCATGTGTTATAACTGAGCCTTTGACCGGACAGTTGACCGCAAGGCTAGCAGTAGTGGATTAATTGGTTCGACGGTCACTAATGTGTCGATCCGATTCAATCCGGTTACCGTCGGGCGGCAAGGGCCGTTCGATGCATAAGCAGCTAATTGTGCTTATACATAATATCAATCGTATTGCGGTCCAGCTGTCGTGCCCGCGGGCGCGCAGCATATGCTATCTACACGTATGTCCTCGATCCTCGATCTATCCGCGCCAATCGATCGGCCCATGCAGCGCGGCCTCCTGTGGCTCCCGGCACCCTGACTGGCCCCACTGGCATCGATCTCTACCATATTGAACACTCGCAGCTAGCTTGCCGCGGGCCCGGGCATGATATATCATGCATAACAATGCAAATGATCGATATGTACGTACAGCCGCGGACTCATGCAATATCGAGGTCCATTTGGTCCCATGATATAGCTAGCTGTCGTGGCCTTATAAATTGAGTTAGCTCGCGAATCCATTGCACATACATGCGCCACTGGCCCAATTGCACGGATCTACTGAGTGACTTTGACAACATAAATATGTCCGATTACCGCCACTCAGTGCATGCGCGTTGTCGGAACGAAATTCGAATGATAGCGCTAGGTCGATTCCAGCTTCCGCGCCGGCCGGGCGGCCATGCAGAGCCATAGCTGGTCCGGGTCCGGACGTATCTAGCGGCCTCATGGAGCCACATGCGATATGTGGAGCTCAACGTACTTGCAGCTATAGACGGTACTAACTAAGGATTGAACTAATTCAATCAAAGAATGTATGGATTATTTATAACAGGAGAACCATGCACTGTGACCGGATCATATCGAAGCTGAATCGCACGCACCCACACTGACACTTGGAAGCTTTTGGATGAACTCGGACGGGTCTGAGGGGAATCAATCAAATCACTGTACGAGCATGTCGGAAGCGTATGCATACAACCGTGAATGATTTCTTGAACGATCCAATCAAATGATTGGTTCGACATGCGTTACACTGGCACGTCGTCAGTTTCTTGACTGCACCTTGAGCAGGTTTGGAATTGCATCATCGCTAGATGCAACACCGCAATCAGGATTGTAAGTGTATATATCAAAGGCCTCAAGTTCAACAAATCAAATATCTTTGCAGGTGGACTTCCATTGAGACGTAAGTATAAACAGCGGAGTATGGTTGAAAGCAGATTTTCCGGTGGGCTCGATAGCAACCTGACCATACCACACGAGGATGAGGAATGGACTAACCTAGCAACAACCTGATTCCAAGTGCTCAGAGCCTACTTCTGTATACAAGAATCTGTTGCCTGCACACCCTGAACATTGTCCTGTGGTTGCAAACGAAACCAGCCGCTCTTACAGCCCCTCCATGTGCTCAAGACTTGGAAAGCAGATTCCTGAGGACGTAGTGCAGGATTCCACCATGCGCAAAGTATGTAAGCTCGACCTGCACACATACAAACTGGCATGTGAGGACGCATCCACAAGATTCTTCTGTTTGGTCGAGCCAGATCTGCAATGGTTTGCTGACAACCGTTTTGAACTTGCATTGGTCCGCCCCTCACGTTGGCCTGGCGGCCTTCTCAAGTGACCACTTGGACCTTTTGCTCGTTACATATCACACAGCTCACTGCAGCAAACGCAACTGATAAATTGTGACAGGGAGCCAACGCTCTCAGAATGCAAGTCGCATGATATACGGAAGCGATGTTCGCCACTCCTCGGGTTACTTTATCACACTGCGATCCTCTGGCTACTTCATCACGTCCGATTCTGCAAGTGCGTCAGATCAGTCCGCGGCTTACCTGGGTGTCGAACCTCAGGGTGGTGGTGAACTCCTTCCCGTCGTCGGTCTTGACCACGACGTCCATGCCGGGCTTGATGTCCTCCTTGGGCAGCTGGATGTCGTACTTCTCCTTGCCGGTGAGCCCCAGCGACTCGGCGTCCTGGCCCGCCTTGAAGCACAGCGGGATGATGCCCATGCCCACCAGGTTGCTGCGGTGGATGCGCTCAAAGCTCTTGGCGATCACAGCCTTCACGCCCTGTGGACTCAGGAAAAGGTATGTCAGGTAGAGCTTTAAGAGAAAACTGAACGTTCTTAGTCTGTGGTACGTGCATCTTGACAAGCGCCAGAGCTCACTGATATCCTCGGCTATCCTTGTGAGCTGCCAAGGATGTGCATTGACCCCGGAATAAGAAAACGAACTCAAAATCCTGCAGAGCAAACCGGGGACTGCCTGCTTAGGAAGGCCTGCTTCGAAAAGGCGGACAGGCAGCTTGTCTCAGATCCGGCATCTGTACTGCAAATCGGGCCCCGCACAGTCCTTACAGTCCTGATCTGATCTCCGACTAACGGCAACCGCCAGTAATCGCTGTCCCAGCACCTTTCTTGACCACCTTCTCACCTGCAGGTACGGTCCCTTGGCAGCCCAGTCGCGGGAGCTGCCACTGCCGTACTCAGCACCGGCGAGGATGATCGTGGGGGTCCCCTCGGACTGGTACCTCATGGCAGCATCGTAGATCAGCATCTTATCACCGCTCGGGACGTGCATCGTCTTGGGGCCCACTTCGCCACCCAAAAACTGCACCAGGGCAACAAACCCGCGTGTTAGCTTCCCTGTACACCAGGCTATGGCATGAGAGACAATTTGGAATCAAAAGCGAGGCGATGGAGCTCAACAGCAGCTGCATTCTCGTGGATGGTAAATCGTATCCAAGCGAAGCGCTTAGCCTATGACAAAAATTTGGAAGCCAGCAAGTAGCTCAAAAAACCGACGAGGGTCAGATTGCTTGCAACAAGTATACAGTATGAAGGATGTTCCAAACGCTCAATCCGCCGGCACAAAAACGTCCTTTCTCACAAATTGATTTTGCAGCGTCCTTGCAATACTGCCGGCAGGTGATTCTCAGCACCGACTCGCTGGGCGAACTGGAGGGGAAAGGATGGCGGTCAGAATAACGAACCTTGTTGACGATCCGAATGTTGGCGAAGGTGCCCCGGGCCATGATCTCATCGTTACCACGCCTGCTCCCGTACGAGTTGAAGTCCTTCCTCTCAACGCCCTTGGACGTCAGGAACTTGGCGGCAGCGCTGTCCTGCAGGCCCAAGCAAGAAAACATGATCAATTGGTGCATGTCTTAAACCATCTCACCCGGCCAACTCAAGGGCTCAGTGTCCCGTTGGTTCTGAAAGCAAAGCCTGGTCGAAGCCACGTCGTCCTAAGCCGCAAAGAGACCTCTAAGGATTTCTGGTCGGGGAAGCCTCACAAAGCTCAAAATCTTCTTCGATAGTGCACAAACGAACTTCAAAGCAACCCTTCTCCAAGCCGTTACGATACTTATTCGAACTTCAAGATCTCCTTCGATAGTGCACAAACGAACTTCAAAGCAAACCTTCTCCACGAAGTTACGATACCTGTACGAACTCTCAATCCCTGAGGTTCTGACGTCAAACTCCTGGGCTTCTGACCTACCTTGTGGATGTTTCCAGCGGGGGAGATGTGGTCGGTCGTGATGCTGTCGCCGAAGTAGCAGAGCACGTTGGCGCCCTTGACGTCATGGTAGCCGGGGGGGTTCTTGTCCATGGTCTGGAAGAAGGGCGGGTTGTGCACGTACCTGGAAGATAAGAAATCGAGAAGTCGGCCAGATGCAGGAGGGGGATCCATAAAGGGAAATTCCCGCATTGACTTGTTTGACGACAGCAAAGGCCAACAGTTCTGCTACAAAGGAATCATGCAGAATCGAAATGCAAAACATTGTTGGTCTTGGTTTCAGCAGACAGACACATGCATTCCTGAAGACTTTGAGTGGACAGTGAAAAGCCCCACATCAAGGAACATTTGCCGAAGCCAACAGGTTGCGCCCCTTGCAGGTACCGTGATGAACCGGCTGAGACCAACCAAACGAATGGGACAAGAAGAAAGGCTGCTCGAGCGCAGAAGCTGCCTCATGCTGGCGCTCACGTGGAGTTGGGGTCCCAGTCGTAGAGGTCGCCTCCCGTGATCTCGAGGCTGTTCCATTGCTGGTTGCCCTTGGTGATGGACTGGTAGGTGCTGGTGAAGAACTCGGGCAGCACGTTCTTCTCCACGACCTCCGCAATCTCGGTGCTCGAGGGCCAAATGTCACGCAGGAACACGTCCTGGCCGTCGCTGCCCTTGCCCAGCGGCTCACTGGCAAAGTCGATGTCCACCTGCACAAGCGCATTGGCAAGTTAGAAGTTAAGCTTCTCTTCGACCCCCGCCCCTCTCGGTTTCTTCGCGGCCTGAACCGCTTTTCCCTGGTCAACAATGAGCGAAGCGAAACCATAGAAGATGTGACTGTCCTGGATTAGCATCCACGAGAAGGTAGGCGCTACTATGAGCGAAGTGTCCCCCAGATAACCTAGATGCAGAGATTCCTGTTCATCTAATTGCCAGGCGTTTGTAAGGGAGTTGGGAACAGACAACACGTCTAGATTTGAAGATTGCTGCCATCTTCCGCTGAGCATTTTGACCAGGTCATAGCAAAAGTCAGTCTTACCGTGCCAGCCAGCGCGTATGCCACCACAAGAGGAGGAGATGCCAGGTAGTTGGCACGGGTGAGGGGATGGACGCGACCCTCGAAGTTGCGGTTGCCAGACAGGACAGCGGACACAACCAGGTCTGCAACGAAACGAAGGGTACAATCAGGCATGCTCATGGCTCAGCTCCTCCTAAACGATATGTGGACGACACCGTCGGACTTCGCAACTAAATAGAGATGCGAGCCATTTCGGGGCTGGCTCTCCAAGCGAAAGTCGTCTAGCTCAAAGGCAGACCATAACTACAGAAATGCATGGATAAGCCGGCTTAATAGCATGTCCAATGAGCAAGATAGGATGTGCCCGAGTAAGATGGATCTAAAGAACCCTTCTCATTTCAATTGCTGCCTTACCATTGTCAGTGATAGCCTTGCCAAGCTCCTCGGCAATGTCCCCACTGTTGCCGATGCAGGTGGTGCACCCGTACCCGACAAGGGAGAAGCCCTGCTTGTCCAGGTACTGGTTCAGGCCGCTGCAGGGCAAAACAATGTCTTCATTGAAACCTCTAGGGCTGAGAGTCTTCAAAATGCTCTCCGCTGGATCCGGCATGTGTGAGCGGATTTCCGACATTTCCTTTTTTGACTCAAACCCTCTTCAATAAATTCCAGCGGTTACCACGTAGGCAACCGCAGAACACCAGGAGTTAAACCTGCAGTGCTCTTCCCCCTGCAATGACCGGACTGTGAATCAACGCAGCAAGGTTGCTGCATATCTGAAAGTCGAAGGTTGTTGCGCCCTTGCAGCCCCGCACCTGGTCTGCAGGTACTGCGTGACGACTCCAGAGCCGGGCGCCAGGCTGGTCTTGATGTGGGGCGCCACAAAGAGGCCCTTTTCCGCAGCCTTCTTGGCCACCAGGCCCGCGCCCAGCATGACCATGGGGTTGGACGTGTTGGTGCAGCTGGTGATGGCAGCGATGACCAGGTCGCCGTGCCTCAGCTCTGTGTCCTGGCCGTTGTAGCTTAGCTTGGCCACCTTGTCCTGGGCCTCCTTGGGTATCGCAAAGCCCTGCACAATCACCGACGTTAGAGAATGTATGTTTCATATTGACAAGGTCTTGCCGCAGTGGCTGACAACAGGAGGCAAGTGAGGCAAAGGTGGTGGAATACACTCCATCACAGAACCATATAAGATGCACGCTATCTGAAACTCAAAACGCCTCCTACACAAGTTCAACTCAACGCGTGTGCGCCATGCAAAGGAAAGCAGTGCGACTGTCAGGCTTGAGCCCTTACCTTGAAGCCGACCTTGTTGTCCAGGCACGAGTGCCAGTCATCCTTCATGTCCGTGAGCGCAACCCTGTCATGTGGCCTCTTGGGCCCCGAGATGCAAGGCACGACAGAGCTCAGGTCCAGCTCCAGGTTCGACGAGTAGACCTTCTCAGTCTGGGGCTCGTTGTAGTCGATGAAGAGGCCCACGGCGCGGAGATACTTCTCCACAAGCTGCACGCGCTCCTTGTCGCGCCCTGTGGTCGCCAAGTAGTTGAGGGTCTGCTTGTCCACCGGGAAGAAACCCATGGTGGCCCCGTACTCAGGAGACATGTTTGCGATGGTGGCGCGGTCAGCGATGGTCAGGTGCTGCACTCCCTCGCCTGCAGCAAAAACAGAAGATGTTGGTTCTCAAGAGTAGTATCTTCAAGACCAGTCAATTAGCATTTCATGATATCCTCCCAAAGTATCGTTTGTCCAGATCATGAACAAACACACTCCTACTAATATTTACCGGGACAAAAGTGATTGCTGCTTCCTTCGTGACCTTCTGGCATGTTCCGTCATCCAGATTACAGAACAGACACAAGGCAGTAAACAGGATTGCAAAGCTGGAAAGTAGTCCTAGTTGATCGAGTGTTCTGCTTTCAGCATCGAGGGAAGGGCAGGATAAGGAAACTAGACTTCAAGGTTGGCTTTCACACGAGGGAGCTTACCATAGAACTCCACGAACTTCCCAACCACACCGTGCTTGCGCAGGTTCTGTGTCACAGTGAGCACCAGGTCGGTAGCTGTCACCCCCGTCTGCAGACTGCCGGTGAGCTTGTATCCCACGACTTGGGGCAAAACCATGCTCATTGGCTGCAACAAAAATTAGATCATGATTAGCAACAAACACACACCAGCTTGTCATGGTCACTGGTTTTGAGTGGCATGGGGCTACATGAAAGATGTAGCAGCTCGCAAAATCAGGAGATGCTCAATAAGAAGATGCTCGAATAGAACACAGAAGTGCAACAGGTGCCACGCTTCACTTTGAAAATGAAGTAGTCAGAAGTTCACCTGGCCAAGCATGACAGCCTCTGCCTCAATGCCACCCACACCCCAGCCAGCGACACCCAGGCCATCAATCATGGTGGTGTGAGAATCTGTCCCGACAAGACTGTCCGGATACAGGAAACCGTCTTTGTCAAAGACCACGCGCGCAAGGTACTCCAGGTTGACCTGCAAAAGATGATCCTCATTGAGCAAGAGGGCCAAGATAAAGGCTGCTGAAAGCTAGAAAGATACAGACTTGCGAGGTGCTAAGAAGCTGCAAAACTGAGCAATGTGAGTGGAAGTCAAAAAGCGGCGCACTTACAAAGGGAAGACAGGGCAAATTTATCAACCAAACTGCCATTCCAAGAGAAAATCAGAAAGGCTGTGCGCAAATATATGCAGGCGGTGATGCAATTGCAATGCCGTTGGACAGTAAGATTGGCCCTACCTGATGCACGATACCACTCCCAGGAGGAACCACCAGCATGTTGTCGAAAGCCTTAGCGCCCCACTTCAGGAATGCAAAGCGCTCTCTGTTCCTCTCAAACTCGAGCTGCATGTTGATATCCAGAGCATTCGCTGTCCTGGCTGCATCGACCTGCACAGAGTGGTCGATGACCAGATCGACAGGCACCTGCACAAAAGAGCAACGACTCAATTGTGAGATCTGTGTTGTAGCAGCATTTGACGATCGCAAGGATTGGCCTAAATTGAAGAGGTGAAATTGCGCTAGAAATTGTTGCTGGCTCCACACGCGGACACAGGAGTCATCCCAGCCAAAAGTGCTAACCTGAGGGTTGATTTTCTTCGGATCTCCTCCCAACCTCTTCATCGCATCCCTCATCGCCGCAAGATCCACCACTGCTGGGACTCCAGTGAAATCTTGCAGAATGACTCGTGCGGGCTTGAAAGGAATCTCCACTTGCTGGGGGCATGTCTTCTCCCAATCTGCAAAGCAACATATAAAGCGGACTTTCAATCGGGCTCCAGCACTCTACCACCTGAAGGTTTTAAGACTGGATGCACCAAAGCTGAAAGACAGCAAGCTTGTTTTGTCCAAGACTGAAAGTCAATGCTCAATTGAGCTAAGATGACTGGCACGAGGTTATGCCGCTGCAAATTAGACCTTGGCAGGGTGCCAATTGCTTAAGAAAGACAATGCTTACCAATGATGTTCTCTACATCCTTCTTGTTCACTTGGAAATTGTCGCAGTTCCGGATGGCTGACTCCAACAGGATCCTGATGGAGACCGGCAGCTTGTCTGCAGAGACAGACCTCATATTAAGGTGACAAATCAAGTCGCTGAGAACCATATGCACGCCAACTTACTATGAACTAGTTATGATCAATCCTCTGATGAAGCTTCCAGCACGCAAGGACCCTACCTTGAATCACACAGTACGCTAAGATATCGCCTAAGCTTCCTTCAGAAAAGCTCAGAACAAGGGAAGCTGGAATTGACTAGCCACCTTTGTCCACCTCTTCAAATGTGGGTGACAAAAGAAACCCCGGCAGCAGCAACTGAATTCGCGACAGCGGCAATGTTGCCAACAACTAATTTACTCACCAATCCTGGGATCCTTCAGATCAGGCAAGCTGTAGTATTTTGAAACCTTGCCGTCCGGCTTCTTGAGCTCCTTCAGCAGGTGCTGATAAGGATTCTCGGTGGCTGCAAACGCATTTGATAACATCAGACTATGTAGTCCTTTGAGACAAGGAACTCATGGATACAAAAGTTGCAATTGTCACAGTACACAATGCAATGCATTGCATGAGGCGCATATTGCATCTTGTGAGATTGCATGGCAACCATCTCGCAGATTTGTAACCAGGGATGGATTAGACAATCTCTCTACAACTTGCATGCTCACCCATGGTTGAAGCGAATCGGTAATCCCCTCGCTCAAACTTGGAAATCTTCTCAGGAGATTGAACAAGAGTTGCGGAGCAAATTGCAGGCAGAGGCGATGAGAAAGCCTTGCTATGCAATCCCGCTTCGAACCAGCGCGACCCCTGGTCAGCCTTTGAGGACAGGAACGAGCTTCTGAATGCGCGCAGGCTGTCCGCAACGGACCTCAACACAGGCGAAGCGCTCCGCAAGCGGAATTGGTTGTTGGAACTGCTAACAAACAGCGGCAGCGCCTTGGCTGTCTGGGCACAGAGAGCCTGCATACTATGCAGCTGGGAATAAAAAGGCTTTTTATGGAGGGATCAAAGCCACCCCTGCCAGAGGGGATCTGAGCTGCTTCCGGGTGCGCCAATCAGTGCTGACTAGGCACGCGTATCTGAGTCAGCACGAGGGCATAGACCGCAGCCATGGCAGGTGCAAGTTGAAACCTGCCCGTATGTCGTCTTCCTCCCCTTTTCTCGATTGTCCGTTTTAGGGTTTTTAGGGTTTGCTTTTCTTGGAACTGTTAGGGTTTCTGGCTGCCGAAACGCCGCGTAACATCTGACCCTCAATACAATTCTTGAGAGCCGTCCGATGTATTCCAAAGGCAGTACCCTGCCGTCAGATGTGATAACAACGGAGAGTCTGAGCCGTTCAAGGCATGGACCTTGTTAAAACCGTCCGATCATGTGAGCCTACCGGGTCATCCTACTGGACGGACTCAGTCGCCCGCCGCTTTGAAGATAATATAGGTACCATGCTCTGCCTTCGATTCGGATGGGCGACTGGGCGTACTAATTTATCCATTCCTAGGGCCCTCGTTCTCAATACTTGTCATCCTTGTGCCCGAAGACAATGTTTTTGCTTGTAGATCGATCCTATACTATCTATACTAGGCCGTTGCGAATCGGAAAAGTTTGTCTCCTTAGGCTTAACTTGGCTGCGACGTTAAGGGGGGCGTTGACGACGTCTTCGAGCCGGGGGCCCCATGGCTGTAGCTTAATCAGGTCGAAGATATAGATCTGTACCGTTCAACTAGGAAAGCAAAGCGTCGAGCAGATTCCGCCGAATCCAAGAAAACAAGCAACCTTGCCGCTCACCGGCAGTGCAGTCCGACGTCCGATCGTCAGTTTGCCGCAAGGAATACGGTCTCGACAATGGTCAGCGGACTGCCACAATTGCCTGGCCTTCTGAGTTTTTGAACGGTCTCACGGGCTGGCACCTGCGTTTCTGGCCCGTTTCTGGCGCTTTAAGATTGAAGACGCAAAGATGCCAATGGTTCATTCGCCCTAGTACTAGCTCATGCCCAGCACAGATGACAGCTCCCTGTGAATGCCCACGTCAAAATGAAGGTTCGAGACTAGTGCAGAGAGTAGACGTCAATTGGACGCTGCATGTCAATCCGGGGCTGCAATTGATGCTTCGACAGAATTTTGCAAACGTTTCAGGCACACTAGTGCACTGATCTATAGCATGCGAAGCTTGGAAACCACCTGATCTAGATACGCAAAGATTGGAAACAAGCACGACTCAAGTACGTAAAGTCGTATCAGCCCCTCGATCTAACACTGAACCCTTTTCCTTGCTGATCGATATCTTTTGAGATTGAATCTTTGAAGTTCACAAGGCTTTCGGGATCTCAGACAGATTTGCATCAATAGATGACATTACCTGGAGTCACAACACCTCCGAGGAAGTGGGTCGAACCCAGAATTATCTCCTCACGCAACGTTCAAATATATCTTGAAGTTCCAAAGAAGCCGTTCGCGGAAGAATCCTTCCGACGACATACCTTTTATTTAGAGAAGTTCTGAGTATATCCCGGTGTCACGAAGACTCAGTGTCAGCTTAGGGTTTGTGGCACTCGAAGGAATCCGGATAGACTTCAGAGAAACTTTTGACGAACGTGGTAAAGACGTGTCACAGGATCAAACGTTTGTTGGAAAGTTGCTGATAAAACCTTGGCACAGGACAAGAAACGCAGACGTTCAAGTTCCAGCTCCAAATAATGTTGCTGACGTTCTGCCGTTAGACAAACGTACATGAATCGGGAGATTGGGCGTGAACACTTCGTCAATTCTAAGGTGGGGCCAAAACGCGTACATGCCTGATTGCCTCTTTCCCTAATTCAAAACAGCGTCTAAAATTAAGAATTTTATGGTCTTCGATGTAAAGTGTTTGGCCATGAATGATCAGTACATGATCAAGGTCGACGCTAGAGGAGCTACTGCTGGCCGCCGCCAACAGCGTACGTCGGAGCCGCGAGGAAGCTTCCCTAGAGCTTCGAGGCATGTACGCAAGCTGTTTATTCAAATAGCCGTGTCAGGGGGGGTTTCAGCCTGGTGGATCAGCACATCAGGGTTTGAGAGGAATCTTGGCGCTATCTTCGAGGGTCACCATTTACGTACAGCTTGAGTTGGCCATTTGAAGAATGGACATAATGCTCGCCTTTTGGCCTTTTATGGATGTAGAGACCAAGTTTTTCAAACCTGAAAGGCTTCCCGATGGTTGATGGCTGAGGTTACAGAGTCCTCAATCGACGTCCGTGAATGGCGTTCTTCTTTCCATTAAACCACTATTCGGAGTTGAGTGCAGCACTTTGCAGGGGGCATCTGGGGATGTGTGCGGCGCTGTGAAGCCTGCTTTCTTTCTTTCTGTGTGAACTTCGTCCGTCTGAGCATCCTAATATCGGACGTGTACTCCACAGAGATGTGTCAAATCTACGAAACAGTTTGTTTGGTAACCATCACGTATTCCGGGTGGACCGCACCTAGCAAACTGTTCCGTAGGTACTGAATCTCGCGGCCATAGTCTGCTGCAGTTTCCTCCTCTATGGTTGCGGGGTTATCGTGACGACGTTCCCGTCATGGGCCGTCATGCAGCTGCAAGCCGTCACTATCTGCTGCCTGCAGCATACGCAACGTGGCCAGTGTACGTCAGCAACGGATGATTCCTAGCGTGTGGGTAACGCAGCTCTGTTTGGGTTCCTACGGGCAGCAGTAAAGTGAGCCAGCAGCATCGAGGGGGCATCGAGGCAGCATCACCATGAACTAGAACGGCAGCACGGGCCGGGCCCGCTGCCTTGCACATGGGCCGCCTTCTTGACATTGCCACTTGCTCACAGAGCTGATATCCGAATCTCTTATTCGAGCCCCATTCGAGCGCCACCGTCGTCACTCACTCGTCTTCACGTACGATACATACTAAGCCGTCAACCTATTAGCCTGAAGGAGTGAAGGTGCAGGTAGGCGCTTCCAAGATCTAGCCTGACCGGACTGCAGCCTGCGCGCGCAGCTGCCACCTAGGCTATTTCAGCATCGCGACTCGATCCAGTAGCAGAAAGAAGCCTGGCCACTTATATCTATAAAGCATTCAGAGGAGGTTAGCAGTACGTACGTACGTGGATATGCATCGAGTCCTGCATGGCCCATGTGTGCATGATCGCTTGTCTCGAGACGGTTGAGCCTAGCTCAGGCTGACCATGTCATGAGGTCAGAGCCCGGGGCGCTATAGGCGGCTGTGCATGCAGTGAATTCAAACCTGAAAACATGCTACCCTCACAAGCAACCTGGGAATTCTTTTTTGTTCGCGGTAGATTCTTCGTTATCTGTTTGAGTCGAGCGCGGCGGTGAATTTTCGAATTACCGCCGGCGAGTCGTACGGCGGTTTTCGATTCAGTGTAAAAATTCGGGACTTAGCCGTTTTCGGAGGTCAAAATCGCCCGTACACGGGGCAAAAGTCAAAATCTGGCCGAAAAGCTGCCATAAGTCGGTCGAAAAAATTATTTGGACCAAACCCTCCGGTCAATCTCTTGTATACGCCCTCCCCATGAACTCCAACATTTTACATCGTCCAATTTGACCCACATATGATACCGACCATGTCAAATATGATCTTAAATATCAAAAAATGGCAATTCTGCGGGTAAAAATCGCCGTGAGTACACGCATACGCGACTCGGCGCGAAACTCCCTATTGCGCACGGATTTTTCAACTTTTTGCCTCTAGACTCGCAGGTTCAGGTTGCTTGTGCTACTCGAATAATTCGGATCGAGTTAAAGTGCCAAATGTGCACTGCACATGCACAGCTAGTATAGCACATGGACTGGCGCTGCGGGGGCCGTTCGCGGCCGCGCGGCCTCGTCGAATGTATAGGCTGGCCGGCGCGGCGCAATGAACGGGGCGCACGTACATTATATGGTCGGATTCGATGTTGCCGGCCCTTCGCAACAAGCTGGCAGCATGAGCATGGTGAGCAGTCTGCCCCGCATGCATTAAATTTTAAGCACAGAAGTTTGCGCAGGTCAAATCAATACTGAGTTGAGGTTCACTGAGCGCGATAAGTAATCGCACAACAAATTACTTTCCTCCAACATATGGCATATGGCTGTGTTCATATTTTCAATTCCCGGATCGTCTCTATCTCTTGCTTTGAAAACACTAGATCATACAGAACGTGGGACGTTTTAACAGATCGAAACCTCATTATTGACAAATTAGAATCTGGAAGAATTTGGCCTTCTACTACCAAGGTAAGGGTTCATTAGCCTAAGCGTAAGCGACGGAGTACTTCCCCCAACCGTGCCGGTCACGGCCCTTCCCAAAAATTAGTCGGGTCTTCGCTATACAACGTCCTATCGGCTATCTCGAGGTTCCCGACGTGATAGTCCACAGTGCGTGCTTGGAGAATCTTGACAAGGAAGAGCAAGAGGGGGAACAGCCACCACCCATATTCAGAGTCACTCGTTCCGGAGGTCACGGACGGCCAGCCCTGGTGACTGTGGGCAATAGCACCGCAAACGACCGCAACAACCTGCGAGCGATGAAGGATAAGAGTCACTCAGGGCTGCGTTTTCCGGCTGCTTGCGGCTGACGTGCTCAAAGCTTCACGCGTACGAATTGGCGTTTCGGCGTTCAAGTACTGCTCAACAAGGGAATTCACGGACGATTCAGACCGCTTAGATGCAGCAAAGTTCTCCTTATCCGCCACGAAAGAAGTCCGCTGCAGAACGTGGACCATGACTTCACAACTCTGTTCTACGTGTTGGTCCCATTACATCGTTGACACTGCTAATTCGGTTGCCAGTAGGCCCCAAAAGCAGAACCACTCTCCTCATTATTTCCAAAAACGATGCCACGAGGTTTGTCAACGGATCCTGTTACGAACTGCCCCCTGAAACTGGTCCCGTCACCGTTCCCTTCCAAACCACAAGCGGCCACGTGGCACTCACCACGTTCCACATGGAGGTCCCGTTCCAGAGGTTGTAGTAGCGCGCCAGGCTGGCGGCGCGGCGGGGCACGTGCGTGAAGAGCGCGTTCAGCCCCGCGGCAGCCGCAAAGAAAGCAATGAAGGGGGGGAGCAGCAGGACGAGGAGAAAGGCGGTGAGGCTGATGCTGTAGAACTGGAGGAGGAGCAGCAGGCTGAGGCACAGGTCGGAGAGGAGCAGGCTCGACATGAGCAGGCCCACCGCAGCCTGCAGGGGTTAGGGAGCGGGTTTGGAGACGGGTTAGGAAAGCCCTAACCATAGTGTTTGAGACGGAAAAACGCTCGAGGTGCTCGTGAAACGAAGCAGGCTCAACGAACAGGTCGGAGAGGAGCAGGCTCGACATGAGCAGGCCCACCGCAGCCTGCAGGCGTTAAGAAGAGGGTTAGCGGGACGGTTAGGGAAAATTTAGGAGGCTGGTGGTACAAACGAAAGCTCAAAATACGGAGGCGGTATCCCAGGAGGGGAAGACAGGCCTGCTCGATATGAGCAGGCCCACCGCAACCTGCGGGTTAGGAGGAGGGTTAAGGAGAGGGTTGAAAAACAAAGTAAAGACACTGCAGGAGGAATGATTACCCAAGACATAGAAGCGGTGTTTGAGAAAGAAGAAGGCTCATTAGATTGGAGAGGGGCAAGCTCGACGGAAGCAGGCCCACCGCAGCCTGCAGATTAGGAAGAGGGTTAAGAAAGCCTAAAAAAAGTGTAAGACAAACATGACACAAGATTTGAAGATAGAACACTGCTCCCTGGTGTGAACCGTTGGTCACCGTGGAACAAGTCGTTGGCAGCCGAGCAGAGAGGATCTTCTAATACATCGAGCAGAGAGCTCCGGAGCGCGCAGAAAGATCGGAGTCATGATCATTTCGCAAAAACGAATTGAACCGCGTACTGCCCACTCACATGGTGCCCGAGCGGCTTGAGATTCGTCATGACGAACTGCGTCGGGTACAGCAGCGTCTTCCGGTCCTGCAAGCTGCGCAGCGTGACCCCATCCACGATACCCCCCCCTATCCGCCGCCGCGCAAGAGAGTACGAGTAGTGATACATCCCCCCCCCGAGATGGGGGGGCGCCGCGGAGGGAGCGTGGCGCGGGCTCGCTACGGGGCTGGTGGGAAGGGGTGGGGAGGCGATTGAGGAGGAGCCGAGAACTGGGGAGGGGGGCTCGGCTGATGAAGAAAGGATGACGCCCAATTGGTAGTAGCCGGAAGACGTCGCCTGCAGAGGAAGGACGAGGGTTGCAAAAAAGCTAAGCCTTTCTTTCTTTTTGCCCTTTTCTCCATGCGCGGGGGTAAATTTTTGGACCAATCCTTAAGTCGGGGTGGTCACAACCGGATCGGAGAAAGTTGGCGCTGTTGGGCTGTCGCCAAGGGGCATCAGCAGTCGCATATTGAAGCCTGAAGCCGAACAAGCTGGACTTACGATGACTGAGTGCTGTGCACTCACCCGACCCACAAACACAAGCAGTTTGAAGGACTACTACTTATAATCAACCTTCTTTATAAACAGAAGACAAGGGCTTTGAAGGGGAGCTAGGTTTGTATTAGTAAACGCAATCACACGTACGAGTGGATTGGGGCGGTAGACGTATTGACACCGACCATTATTATGTCGTTAGAGGAACTTTAATATATGGTACATCGTAGGCCATCATGAGTGGAGAGCCTATAACATCCCAAGAGCCATCCCTTCTGAACCTCAACTCGGGGTGCTAAACACAGAGCCGTTGGATTCCAAGTCTAAGGATCAAGATACAAAGCACTGTTGGCTGACCTGGAACCAGGCGAGGTCTATCCGCAGGCCGTGCATTCGCAGCCAGGGGTTGGCGTGCGTCCCGATCCAGGCCAGCAGCGGCGCGAGCCCCCGCCGCAGGCAGCCCTGCCGTACCGTGCGCAGCTGCGCGTTTAAGCCGGCCACCATGCGGTACCAGATGGAGGCGGGGAGCATCTGTGAACGGATAAAAGATGCTCTGTGATTCGTTGCTTTTGCAAAGAATGCAGTTGACAGCAGGTTGACAACAACTTTCACAATTTGTAAGCCACTGATCCGTTGTCAGCTGCGCGTTCAGGCCGGCCACCTTGCGGTCTCAAAAGGAGGCGGGGAGCATGTGCGGACGGAAGAGGAAAGGATTGTTTCTAGGAGGTAAACCCCAGTTTGTTTACCAACCAAGTAAATATATGGTATAGCAGATGGAGCTGAGAGACGTCTGCTAAGTGAATGGACAAAAACCCTCGTGAGGCAGTGACGTGATCAGCGAGGCGCTTGAAGGTGACCCACAACCAGCACCTTTCGTTGCAAGTTGCAGCGCGACACACGTCTTCTCTTTTCGGCTTCAATAGGCCGAACGTCAATTCAGATGGCTGGCGACTTCTTACGTCGAGACCACAGACAAAACGTCTAACTCTCGAAAAGATCTTGAGGCGAGCGTTCCAGCCGATTGACAAGGTCGGTTGTTCGACTTTCTGACCGGATCAGGGCGGGTCTGTCTCGAAACCTAATTGCTGCCACCTTGGAAGGCAACACAGGATGTAAATTCAAACTCTTGAACCTTCTTCCCGGAGCAATAAGCACCCCAAAAGACCTGATGCACACGAGAAAAAACAATCCACAGAACCTACCACTTATTTTTGGCACCCAGGTTTCCCACCTGTCCGAGTAGGCTGGTAAGCAGGTCGTCTGAATGCAGGTGGTAGGGCGTCATATAGCCGCCCTCGCCGCCAAAGATGAGCGCCAGCGGCAGCCGGTCCGGCAGCCGGGGGGGCAGGTCGGAGCGCTTCTCGTCCCCCCCCAGAAAGAAGTCGATGTAGCCCAACAGCAGGTCGGGCGTCCAGTGGACCTGCGCGAGAGGAGTAAGCAATGAGCGCCAAAGAAAGGCAATGCCTACATTTGAAGAATACTGCTGATGTCCCGCTGAATTGACCTTGCAGCCCAGCCTTGCGCTCTTTCGTTGCTGACCTGCCAGGAAACAAAGACGATTTTGAGCTGTCCTTGCTTCCAGTCTCCAGAAGCGTAGCTTTCATTTGGTGGATGAAGGCTGGGTGAGTCAATCGCTTAATTCTCAATCAAAGAATTGTGTCGTACAACTAAAGGCGTTGCGGAAAGTGATTGCTTGCGGACCCTTCAGCCTCTTATCCCGTCAACGAAAGCCAGACCCCAGAGACGGCCGAACCCTTTCTCTCTCATGTTCCCGAGTCCGTAATCTCTCCGCAGCTTGACCTTCTCGACGAGCGCTCTTGAAGCCCTGAATGCCGGAACCGCTCATGACCAGATTTTCCACGACATACGGATCCTCCAGATTGCGTAACCCCTGCATTTCGCCAGATCTTCCTACCGTTGAGCTTCCAGAGTCGGACTAGAGGTTCTGGTTCTGCGTTGCAAGACGTTCACGGTCATCGCAAATCACGGCGATGATCGGTAAATGTGGTAGGCTGCCCCATGTTATATTCATCCACATCTGACAGCGTCAGCGTCGTCTTAACTGTACCGAGATCCGATCAAGGCCTGTTACATCGTCGAGTGAAACCCGTAAGAATTCTGAACCCATCCCCGTACCTTGATAACTCTTCCGTTTCAAAACAGAACGCCTTAAAAGCAGAAAGCTCCTAAGCTGACTCTCAAGACCAACTCTCGAGATTACCTGCTACGCCAAGGAAACCATCCTGCACCCCCAAAGTAACCCTACCGGTCGAAACTGTGGTGTTCCCATCATATTAAACGCATATGTTTCCGAGGTTGGATCGTACCTTGAGCCCCTCGTAGAGCGCGCGCGCGCGGCAGGAGCGCAGGCACGCGTGGTCGTACTCCTTGGAGACGTACTGATGGAGCGCCTGCGCGCGCACCTGCCGCCGCCACTGCAGCCAGCTCCACGCCAGAGGGCAGCACACCGCCAGCAGCGCACTGTACACCATGCCCTCGTACCTGGAAAATAGTGTCAACTAGTTCGCGTTTCCGCTTTGTCTGCGGAAGTGCTTTTCAAGTGTCCTCAAAGCATGCCCTCGTACCTAGCGGGGAAGTTCTAGTGTTTCTACATTTGCTGTTTGCACATTTCTGGAAGTCCTTCTCGTGTGCTCGTACAAGATGCGCTTGTACCTGCGAGGAGACGATAAGTACACCTCGTTTTCTCTGCTCGGACGTCCGTGAAAAGTGGTTCGTATCTGCTCGTCGATGTGGTTCTCGCTTTCGCTACTTGTACGGTTTTAGAAGTGCTTCTTGCGTGCTTTTACAAGGTGCCCTCGTACCGGGCGGGAATGGTCTCGTTCGTGTGGTTTGGAAATCTTCAAAAGTGCTTCTTGTGTGCCCACATGACAGCCCTCGTACCGGCAGAAATGTGGAATTCGTTCTCGCTTTTGCTGATTACACGTCTTGAGACCTGCTTCCAGTGTGCTCGTATGACATGCCCTCGTCCCTGCCAAAAAACGTTTATGAGTAATCCCTCGCTTTTGCTACCTGTGCGTCTATGGAAGCTTTTCTTAGTTTTCGGAAAGCATGCATGCGTCCGTAACTGCGACACGAGAGCAGCTTGCAGTCTCCTTGGATCACTCGCCATCTTCTTTGCAAAGCCCATCCTATCTCACTGCAGCATGACTTCGTAATTGCATACGCAAAAGCCCCCTGTGTTGTGATCTTGTAAGTACGATTGCTTGTGAGCACTCTCCCACTCTCCCACTTCTAGTAAACACAGTAGCATGGGTTAGTCAGTCAGCTTTCAAGAGCAGAGGGGCTCGTTAGTTGATACTAGAACCAATGATGCTATATGCCAGCGTCAATCTGATTGCCAGGTTCTTGATTGAAGTGGTGTCTCTTGGAACACCAAAGGATATCGAAGGACACGTTGTCCGTTCCCGCAACCAGCCGTTTGTTCTGCTCCTCTTTCGCCACTTCGTAAAGGTGTTCGGACTTTGCAAAGGGGTGTCGAAAACGGCCCGCCGAATTCTCACCATTGGTAGCCCGCTCGCTCATTAACCGCCTCCACGAATCGGTTGTATGCGTCCTCATACACCAGGTCTAGGATCTGTTCCGGGGGCGGGTGCGGCAAGCGCCACGGCTCGCCGAACGAGTTGCTGCCCGTGAAGTACAGACGGTGCAAATGGCCCGCAGACTCCTCCGCGCGGTTGCTCTCCATCACCTGGGGAGGTTCGTGCGGGTTGGTCAGTGCGAAAGGCGGCAAGTTTGACTTGTCGTCTCGTCGACTATCAGAACCAAAATATTTTCGGGGAGTTAAATGCGGGAGGGTCGGACTTGGAAGCAGCAACACGGATGCTATAAGCTTTGCTCCCCTGCATTGAAAGACAAATGCAACATGTGAGCACTTGAGCATAATGAGCTTTTACCAGTAGATCGAGCGGTGGGCAATTCCAGACAAACAAGAGCATTTGACAATCTCTTAGACCTATGTGCAAGAGCCCTCAGAGCTCTTGCATATACAAAGGCATAGCAGCACTCCGGATTCTGCCCGAAAGCACCTCTTCCAGAGCAGTCCATTGGGCCCGGAATCATCTAACCCCACATCCTCAAACAGCAAAAGAATTCCGAGCTCGGAATTCCGACCAACTGCCAGAGCTCTGCAGACTGGAGCTTTTAAACATCGCATCCCAGCCCAATGTTTTCCACCCTTGCTCGCACTCTCACCTCGTTGAGCGACTCCAGGAAGGGGTGGCTCTGGTTGATGTGCATCGCGTCGGGCGTCTTGGGGCTGGGCGGGTCGTCCGCCTCCCACGTGCCAGCAATGCGGACGCGCGCCACGCTCAGTGTGACGGCCATGAGAACTAGAACGGCGGCATTCAGCAGGCTGAAGGTGAGCGGCCCGCCGAAGCTGGAGATGAGGTCCTCGATGGGCGTGTTGCAGTGGGGGAGGCTGTACTTGGAGGCAACGCACTCGTACGGGCACGGGCGGGAGGTCACGCCGCCTGCGGAAGAAGTAACAGGCTTGGGGTTCACGATTCGGGAATACCATTAGGCATGGGCGGGAGATCACGCTGCCTGTGAGAGAATACAGTAAACGGTACTGTCTGGGGTGGGGATGAGTAGCTTACGTCAGGCTTCGGTGGCAAAAGCGGACGCATGCTTGGAATGTCGATCGCAGAATAATGATCCTGAACCGAAAGAAGGGTTGCGCCAGCATATATCCATTTCGTCGCAGGTGACGAAGCCAGCAGCATGTTACAAAATCCCAGTGAGGCTTGCTTGCATCCTGGCAGGTGCTTCATAAAAGCCCTAGAACGATATAGCCGAGCATTAGTGTCTAGATAGTCAAAACTCCTGAGGCGAGTCCGTGAACTTAAGAGAGTAGCTTCCCAGCACAATACACAAACGCATCAAGCAACTGCGTTACACAGGAAAAACGGTTGCTCCCACATGCCTGCTGATATTCAGATGCGCATGAAGCTGCTCGCGATTTGTGTGCGCACCTTTCTTGGCAATGTGGCGCGAGTGGTGGGGCAGATCTTCCGGTGGGCACGGCTTGCAGAGCGACTCGTTGTATCCGAACTCGTTCTTGTAAGTCCCCAGCGGACACTCGTCGCAAAACAGCCCGTACAGCCCCGGGGGGCAGTCCAGCGCAGTCAAGCTCCCGGGCTCGCCGTCCCCGCCGTCGTGATTGCCGCGACCGCCGCTGCGCCAATGTAGGAAACATACGGTTTGGAATGGTGTCTTATGCAGGATCTAAGTCGGACGTTCTTTGGCTTGTGTGCTATTTGAGTTGTCGGCTCTTGTTTGGTGAGTGTGCTAAGGATTGACAGCTCGCGACCAGGACGTACAGACTGCAGTCTATGCTGTTGGACAAGCTCCATGAGCACTTTCGGCTGCAATAGTAAGACATCTATCATCCGACGTTGCTTTCGTGAAGCGAGCGCCTCCAGTCTCGGACCCTATATGGGATTATAGCGAGCGCACGTGGAAATCCCTCAGAAACAAGATTCTGCACGGACAGAGAAGACCTACCAAGTTCGTCTTGATCAACGTTACGAGGATAACACTTGGCCAAGTACTGGCCGATCAGACAGTGCAAGCAGCTTCACGGTCAGCGCCAGATAGAAGTAAAAGAACGACGAAAGGGCAGAGGATAGTTGCGAAGGGCTCCTCACATGCTCCGTAACACTCCGCTCGAGTTCGCCTTCCGCACATATGCATCCCCCTCCTTTATATTCGCCCACTCGAAGTGGACCCTCCCCCCGGCCCCGCCCCCTCCTCCAATCGACCCCCCAGAACCCCCAGAGCTCGAAATGATGGAACCCGGCTCCCCCTGAAACGAGTTGAGAAACATCAGGATCGTTCCCCCAGACCCGCCACCCCCTCCCGCCGAAATCGCTTGAGGGCTATTCGCACTAGTCTGTCCATCAGCCAGAACCCACCCCCTTAGTTCCAGCATCTGCAGCGGGTGCGCCTTCCCCCCCAGAACGATCACCCCGCCCCCCGCCCCGTCTTCCCCAGTTCTCGAAACACCCCCCCCGCTGCCCAACGCGCACGGCAGAGCCGCCGCACCGTAGGCGCCCCCCCCTAGCGCGGTGTTATTGTTGAACGACCCGTTTCCGCCTCTCCCGCCGTGCCCCCCCCGCCGCCAACCCCTTCCGCCCCAGCCTGTCCGGCCCCCATTCCTTGCCCCCCCCCGCACCCCTGTCCGGCTGCGGTCAACTGCCCCCCCTTGTCGATGGTCACCAACTTGGTCCTCTGTATGTGCACCACGGCGCCTTTTACCACCCCCTCGATCAGCAGCTCCTCAATGCGGCACAGCTGCAGTGTGAACGGGGACTCCGGGTCGATGCTGCAGTCCTGGGAGGTTTGGATCACACTAGGGGGGCACGTGGGCTGGTCGCAGTAGAGCGCGACGGGGGCCCCCTCGGAGTCGCTGAAACTGGTGGGGGCTTGGAGGGTCGCGCCCGCGGCGACTTTGAGCAGGAAGAAGAGCGAGACGAACAGCTTGCGCGCGGCGATGCGACAGCTGTCGTAAACGGCCATCAGGCCCTGACCCTGGATGCCCAGGTTCGCGTTCGACTCGATGCTGGACAGCGTCTGCGAAGAAGAGCGGACGGAGATCCATAAGCACGTTCGATATGACTCACAAGCAGCGTAACTGGCATGGGGTTCTGTAGGACTGACTATCACTCCGTTCCTTTCAAAGTACCAGGTGGTGTTTACGTGGATCTCGATGCTGGACAGCGGTCGGCAGAAGGGCCAAAAGAGCGACTAATGTGGGCGGTCGACAGTCCAGCTCTTTTCACATCCAGGTTTGAAGGAGAAGACGCTCTCGTGGTTGTACCCAAGGATGCCGCTCTGAATCGTCCCTGAGGGAAACCTGGCAACCGTGATTCTTTTCCGCTCAGACTTCTGTCTTCGTCCGGAGGACTTGTCAGAATTGCCGTCGTCCACTGAAGGGTTCTCAGAAGTTCAGCCGAAACCTTCCCCAAGGGCCCCTGTCGCAGGCGATCTTCCAACACACAACCAAACTTTGGAAGGGAAGAGTGCCCTGATCGCCAGCAAATCGACAAACCGTATCTTTTGAAATGATTCCCGAGTACTGAGCTCGAGGTGATTGACCTCCACGACCGTCGTTCTTGTCAGCACAAACGAACCCCTGATGGTTTCCAACGTTGCGTTTGCGAGGAGCAGCTGGTTGGCACAAACCGCAATTGCACTCTCAACACCCCAAAACTTTGAAAGTATGAACTTCAAAACTCTGAAAGCAAAGTCCCACCTTGAGCTCTAGGTGGTTGACCTCCACGACCGTCGTTCTCGTGAGCACGGACGAACCCCCGATGATCTGCACCGTCGCGTTGTCTAGCAGCAGCTGATTGGCGGCCAGCTTCATGGCGCCGTAGACGTACATGCTCGAGTTGCGCATCACGATCTCGTCGCCAAAAAGTTCGAGCTCCGCCCACGCGGTGCCCGCCAGCCCGAAGTTGAGCACCGAGAAGCCTGTCAGCACGATCTTGCCTTGCACCTGGGAGGGAGGAAGAACTAGTGTTTCTAGCCACGACCCAGTTTGCATGGTGCTGGACCTTTTCTGGCTGAGTTGTCAGTATGGTTTGTGCAACTTCCGACGCCAGTCGATGTATTCTCCGTTTAGATCCCGTGTTTCCAAACCCTTTCAACTTCGACAAACCTGAAAATCGTGATCCCAGCATCTGGAGAGCCTGCGATTGAAAAGTGTTAGGCGTTGAGACCGCCCGCTACCCGCCCCCTGCTCCAGGACAAAATCTCGACGAGCCTGAATTGCTCAGACCTACGAGCGGAGAGATACAGACTCGTGAGCCTTTGTACTAGAAAAGCGGCCGCACCTGCACCCTGTTCAGACCGAGAGCACATCATTTGAGTAGAGACTCTCAGTGGCTTCAAAACACGCAAAATTCCAGTTGAGCACTCTGTAAGCGTCCGCACCTGTACTCTGGTCCAAAGCAAGACAGTCCGGACCGCCAAAAGACAGAAATGTAGAACCCAAAAGCCGCGAACGCCTTGCACCTCCACCCTCCTCCAGAGCGAGAGCCCGACAACCTTGAATCCGCATATTGTATTAGAGTAGTATGCTATTTCGCAGGAACGTCTTCCGCAAAAGCGGCCGCACCTGCACCCTGCTCCAGAGCGAGAGCACGACGACCTTGGCCTGGTCGTCCATGACGAAGTTGGTCCACAGCGGGTGGTTCGGAAAGTCGAAGAGCGGCGTGCGCGTGCGAGTGTGCCGCCCCTCGTTACTAATCGTCAGCGTTTGCAGCGATACGTCGAACAGCGTCCCCGCGGCGCCCGCGTTGTCAGGGCAGCCCAGGCTCTCGCCGCCTGCAGAGACCGAAGGATTGGTGTGATGACTGTTGGAGCGTTCATTTTCGAGGCGGTGACTTGTCTTTTCATTTGGTGAGATGTGCTGACAGCGTCATTATACGGCGTCCATAGCTGGTTGCCAAGAAAAGTGAACGAAGCAAAGCAGGCCAGCTTTTGAGGAACTTGGAGGCCGTAATGAAGAAGCTAAGCAGGCCAGTTGAGTTCATTGACGTGGTAGGGTGGGTATGCTTAACGCTGTCTTGATCGAAACAACGTTCTTTGCTACCGTACCGGAATGGTATGATTCCGGAGAATCAAATAATATATTTGCCCCTCGGAAAGCTACGTTACCTGTTTTTCGTCCGGAAAGTGATTTTCCGGATTCAGTAGATAATTCCCGACTTGCTGTCGGAAATGAAAAATCGACAACCGGTCACTCTCTTCGCAGCTTTTTGGGGGCAAAAGGTGCTCAGGAGCGTTTTCAGGGCGGATTCTGAAACAGGTCGGGATCATGAATTATTCGTCAAAAGAGGTCGGATTCAATCAAAATAACTGTCATTTTCGAGCATTCGGAATCATACCGTTCCGGTACGGTATAATGGTTGGGTAACGGCCATACCCACAAGAGAACGTGATGGACCAGTTCTTGACTTACATCCCATCTTACAGAGGGTTTGAACTGCAAAACAATTGAACTTATATTCGACATCCGGATGAATCAAAGAAGGCAGCATTGCTAAAACCCAACTCGTTGCATCCTTTTCTGTTGATTCTTGATCCTACCTCCTTTTATGAGGTCTACTCGACTGACAAAAAAGTGACGAACCATCGGTAGAGGGGATCTCTACCTCAAGACGAAAAATGTGTCTTTGCCGGGAGCCAGGGCAGAATTTTGAACACTTCTGTTGTCCTCACCGTTTGCCACGATGTCCACGTTCGAGCGGCTCTCAAAGTCAAAAGCCACCCGGCCACCTCCTCCTCCAGCGTGACCATCCCCCCCTGCTGCGCTGATGCGGCCGGTGGTGAGACCGTCACTGCAGAAAGAAGGTGTCGTTGATGCAACTTTCGCGAAAAGTGGAGCGGGCTGGCCTAGTACATGAGCCCATCCTGCGGGCGTATTGCCATGCATGGGTCGACCGCGCTGAGGCAAACAAAGCTACTGCGCCGATCCGGTCAAACAGACCCTTGCAACGCTTCCACTGCGTCAATATCAATCTGTGTTTCTGACAGATCGGACCACCTTTTGAGATTTGGATCTTGCTCCATATATCAGACGCAGACTTCTTTTTGAAAAGTACGAAATCACTTACAGTGTGCGTGCTTTTGCAACGACACTGCCCCCAGATCCGCCCCCGCCGCTGTCTTGCCCGTCCCCTCCCTCTGCGCTGATCTCCCCTTCAACATACAGCAGCTCACGGGCTACCATGTGGATGCGCCCTCCGCCACCGCCACCTGGCACCAGGAGGATAGCGGTTTCGAATCTCTTGGTTAGGCGGCAGATCCCCCTCTCAACAATGTTTTATATCAATGCGCATAGATGGATTGCTTCTCTCTTTGGACTGCAATGACAGGAATAAAGGTATCAATCCAATGGTAAGCCAATGGTCTAGCCAATGATCCAATGATCCAATGTTCCATTGGTAGATAAAAGCAAGCACATCCCATGGCACTAAGTGCCCCTTTCTTCTGCATCCAGACGAAGGGAGAAGTGCTGTATTTTAGTTTACTGCCACAGACAACTAATAGAAGGGCAAGGTCAAAAGAACTTTAGCGAAGAGTTTGACCAACTTCATTGGCCTCAGGTTCAAACGGACCAGAATACAACAGGTGTGCCTTGCCTTGCCTTGTGGAAGCCACCCGTCTAATGTGCAACACTAATATACTGACAGCGCAATTGAACCACACTCAGATTTGGTTGTCAAGGTTGAGATCCGCAGGACATGTGCGAGTCTGGCAGACTGACCTGTCCCATTGCCTTTGGTTGGGCCCCCCTTGCTGCCAACCATCCAAGGGGCATCCAGAGTGGACCACGCATACACGTCGCCCCCCCAGGTGTCAGTAGAGAAACTTGCCCCCTTCTTTGAACAAGATGCCCCCTGGAAAGGACAGGACAAACTGTGACCTGGAAGTTTGCGCGCAACGGTGTGCTTGCTCAATCAGTCCAGCAGAATAGCACCTCCGCTTTTACAGGCAGCTTTTGTTGCTCAGATGCCGTATTGCTTTTGTCATTATGCCTACATGCCTTTCACATCCAGTAAGGCCAATCTGAAAAACAGTACAGCAGTTACACTAAGAATCAAAAGAAAACCCAAAGAATGCAAGTAGACAGCTGTCAAAAAGCCCCTTTCTCTTGCTCTCCTAGAGACAAAAAAGCTCGAGGCACTGAGCCGTATGGAGCTCCTACAGCAATCAGCGAACGACCAGAAACCGCAAGGTTAGATCTCCCGCCTTCCTGGTGGGAGACTGATAACTTTGGAACTACAAAAACTTTACTGCCTCTGTTCAACTGCAGGCTTAGACTGTTCCTGACCATTGCGCGTCAGCAAATGCTTCTCGACGGTGCCTTCATTGGCAAATTTAAAAAAAACTTTGGCTCTTACCCGGCCCCCATGTCCTCCCCCGGAGCCATCTGAGGTGGTGGGGCTGCCGCTTGTCTGGGGGGGCGGTTTGCCCCCTAGTGCCTTGGCACTGATTGTCCCCCCCTTTTTTATGACAACATTCTCCGCCTCTACATGTAATTGCCCTCCCACAATTGCTGCGTCCTTCAGCAATTTCAAGTCGCCTCCGAGGGTTATGTTTATGAGGCAGTCTGGGAGGGAGCAATTGATAGTGACGCCCTGAAGCAGAGTCAGGTTGCCGGCCCCCTGTATACTTGACGCACCGCTGAGAGTGACCGAATCTTTCAGCTCACAAGTAGCATCCAGCGACCCTTTGCCTCCAAGGTCAACGTCACACGCTAAACTAGCCTGCAATTGATCGCTCGATAGCAAACCTTCGCTGCTACCAGTGACGAGCGGCAAATTCGGATGCTTTGCCGAAAGCAGCCTGCCTTCAGCTGCAACCTTATTCTCAGGATTCGGTAGCTCCCAGCGTGCAATGTCCCGGGGGTTTTCTAGGCGAAACCCCTCTTCTGAAACGCTCGTCTTGTGAAGCTGAAGCCCAACTCCAACCCGCTCTCCATGCAATGCCTCTGCGGATTGGAATGCCAGAAGGATGCTCAACAACAAAATGGCCCTCGTCGACCGCCCCATTCCAAACTTACAAGGTTTGGGCCTCCTTCGCAGGTCGTCCATGGCTCCTGCCTGGATGCAACATGAGGGCCGTCCTTTTCACCGACACAGGGAACGGTTTCTGAGCAGACGGCGAGTCCTGAGCCCAATGTTGCATGCAACCTGCAACTAGGAGGTCAGGAGTCTACCTGCAACTAGCTGGTCAGGAGTCAGGACTCAGGAGCAAGGATGCAGCCTCAGGAGTCAGGCCGGAGTTTGGTCCCGCAAATCTAGCATACCTGGGTAGATTTCTCAATCAACAGATCGTGATCGTCCATCCCTCCTTTTTGCACTGTTTGACGGCAGCGATGAACCCTGAGTTTGCAGCGTTAGCTCTCCCATTGGTCGACATGGCTCTTGCGCGAATCTGTAAGCATGTCCTTAGCATTCTATGTAGCCGATCGAGCTACCTACATGACGCACCCAGCTGATGACCAGCACAGGACAAGATAATACAATTAAGAAGTTTGAGACCATTATGTAGCTGGTTGGACTCGAGAAATCAAGTGAGCGACGTTTCCTAGCTGCTCGGATATTCCAGGCTGTACCGATATACTAAAACGTATCTGTTTGAAGAAATCATGCATGATTGAAGGCGCGGGCCAACTATAAGGTTTTGAGGAGCTCCGACGAAATCACCCGTACCATATGCCATCATTATTCGAAATTGAAACAACTGGGCGGCACTCTTCAAGAATTGGACTTGGTGAGCGGCGTGAGAGATGGTGGAACTTTCAAAGCAGAATGTTGCAGATTGCAAACTTGATTTAGTATGCCCATCGATGACGATGAAGCAATGCACCCGCCTTTAACTCGGTGTAAGATTTGAGCAAATGCAATCTGCAACATTTTGCTTCAAATGCTCATAGTCTCTCTTCTTTGGGCGACTAAGTTCGCACACAATTCCTGCTTCTTGCGACCGACGTTTAGAACGGTTTTGGTCTCCATAGGTGTAATGATCTATCATAGAAAGAGCATGTTGCAACCAGGCCACAGGGAAAGGCACCTTCTCGTAACGACTTCCCGCTCGCACTGACCTCTTTCGTCCGCGAGAAACCCTTTCTAGAGACGCCCCCTAAGGCCTCTGAACCTAACGTGCCCGAATCTGCATGCAGTTGTTTAACCAAGGAGACTAAGCTTCTGTCTCCTCCAACCTCACCGCTTTCCAAGCACTCAGTTTTTGCTTCAGTCGCCGCTTTCAATCCAGTACCAATGATCTCCGGCTGGCCGCCCGCCAACCCGGAATGCCCCGCCGCTCTCTCTTCGCAGAGGCTTTCTTCCGCCGGACTTGCCGTAAAAGTCTCAGACACTTGCCCCTGGCATGTTTCGTCGAAAGCATTGTGGATCTCAGAACAAGACTCCGAGTCGGGCTCGCCCTGAAACTGTGTGAGGGCTCGAGGATGGTAGCACCAATCTGCTCCGTATGTCAGCGAACCGTGCGCAACGTACTCCTCTGTAACGGCTACCTCGCCATTGTCAGGGACCTGGTCAGAGAATCCTCCGTTAGCAAAACTTTTTGCAACTCGACTAAGTGACGTGGGGACCCATCGGATGAGGGATCGTGAAGGTGCTCCATATGAGTCCCATCGTGCACATGTGTGTGCAGTCGTCTACAAGAGGGTCTACTTCAGATCACTTCTTGACTCACGAAAAGGTCTCTTCACATGAAGCCACATTAAAGAGGAAAGGACACACATCGCCAAGAACGAGTCTGTTTGGCAATCCGATTCAGCCTTCCTCCGCAAAGGTGAAACATCACATGAAAGTCGTTTCAAACAGACCTATCCAGCACCATATCCGAATGGCCCTATCCAACGGTCAGTCAATCTTCACATAAGAAGAGTTGCTTCTTGCTTCCCGAAACTCCAATCAGTCCCAAAAGCATATCGGGCATTTTTGGCGTCCAGCGAAGAACAAACCGCCAAAACGGTCCGGGCAGCTCGATGCCACTGGCAACATCAAAACTCGGCTTTTTCCCCAGCCAAACGTACTTCTACGCACAGACACGGCTTGAAAACGTCCAGAGCAAAGACTCGAAGACTCACAGAGAAGATCCGCGCGCCACCGTGCATGCAGGCCCCCAGAAGGAGGCCCACGGCGTGGGGGTGCCATTTGAGCCGCCACACGCCCCCCCCGACCTGGGCGCCGACGTGCACGCACACCGGGCGGCGCAGGTTCCGGTTGTCCCACACACGAACACGCTCGTCGTAGCTGCCGCTGACGAACTCGTGCTCCTGAGACAAGCATAGCGGACACAGAAGTCCATTTCAATGTAGTACATTGAGTTTGTCAGGACGCTTCGTTTTGACATGGAACAGAAAGAGCGACAGACGGCTTTCACGAAGGCGTCTCCAAGTGATCAGGTTAGAAAGGCATGAACCGGTACAGAGCCGATCCTTTGCCTTTTGCGACCATCACACGCACTAAGTTTTCCCAACCAAGTTTTCGTATTCATTGTCAAACACCTCATCCTCGCAAGTATGAGTCCATCAATGAGGGTCCAATCGAGACGGACCTTCGAGGGGTTACTTGCGAGCGTGCACACCCCCATGGCGTGCTCTTTCCTGTTGCTGAATGCCGGTGCGCCACAATCTGTACGCAGGTCCCAGCCTTTCATCGCGCAGTCGTCCGCACCCGAATAGACCAGGTTCGTGTCCCACCGGTCGAATGACGCAACCCAGACCTCGAGATCGTGGGCGGGCCAAGTTTGGGAGAGTGTGACGCCGGCAGGGGAGAAGGAGAGGGAGGCGATCTGGCCGTCTGACTGGCTCACGACTACCTGGTTGGAACGACGGAGGAGGTTAGACGCTGGCACACCTGGCTGTTAACTTCTTTTGCGGAAGGCCTTGCAAAACCCGCCCACGAGAATGAACTCCGATTGCCTGGCGGCGTTGGATATGGCCATTTGGAGGCTTCGCAACCATTGAATGTTTGACTACTACGGTAATGTGCAAGCCAAAGCGGGCTGAGTGAAGTGTGGACTGGCTGACGCTTGAGGCATATACTCCTCTTTGGTTGCTCAGACTCGCTTTTTGTTACGCGGCCCAACTGGACGTTGAAGACAGATGCTAAGGAGGAAAGGAGGACAAAGCTCCTTTGAATACACTCCTGACGTCTAACAAGCTATGGCTCGAAGTGGATCGAGAGGCAGCCCCAAGTTCCTTTAATCGATTTGTCTTTCTCGCACATTAAACAGAAAACCCTGGAAAAGGTGGTGGATCCAGAAGTTGCTTCCAAGCAGGAAACGATGCCTTGAGTGGTTCTATTTCAATCGATCTTCTAAGATCAAGCTTCGAAGAACTCTATCCGAAAGCTCAGAAGCATCTAAGAGTTTCGGGCTGAAACTTCTGGTTGTGGCAGAAACCGAAGCAATAATTGGCATCTCGGGAGTTCTCTACTCATTGGCTTCTTTCTGAATTATATGCAGAGGAGGGGCGCAATCCACCGTCTGATTGTGGCTTTTAGTACCAACAACTATCTTCAACAATTCATGTCTACCTGAACCTTTGGTCATTCCTAAGACAAATGGGAGGTCAGACTGTGCCTACAGAACCCCCTCAAAGGCTTGATGCAGCTTCAACAACAGCAAGGTTTATCACTTTGATCCAAGAAAGGCCCTTACGTGTTCCCCTGTCGTTGGGCGCCAATCCAGCGAGAGGCACATGGCCTCGCCAACTTCACACCTTGAGAGATGCTCCATTGAAGCTGACTCTGCAGCCCTCAGAGAGTAGAAGGACAGCGACCCGTCTGCGCTGGCTTGCCCCAGGCACGGCGCCGAGTCGAGCAGCTGAGGCGCCCACTTGAGGTCAAAGATGCCAGCTGTGTCCTGCTCAAGAACGCGGCGCATCCTGGAAGGGCAAGAAGTGCTGTCATCCAAGCCTTCCCATTATCTAATTGATCTTCGAATCAATCAAATCCGTGTACTGGTGGTGGTTTCATGTTTGTCCTGATTCTCAGTAAACAGGCACACAGCGCAAGTGTTTCCTAAGTTGGCATGAGGACCTCCGAGTTGCAAGATGCGTTTCTCTGGATCATGATAAGGGGTCAACAAAACAGCCGAGTTGCAAGATGCATTTCTCTGGATCATGATAAGGGGTCACCAAAACAGCAAAAAGTGCGATAAAGCGCTTTCTGTGACAAGCAGAATCGTGTCCCAGTACTGCATTCGCGAGTGCTTGATGTGGGTGGTGCATGAAGCAAAAGCCCAAAACTACCACCCTCACTCACTTGGGGTCAGTTTGAACACCATCTGCGCTTGTGTCCACATCATAGAGGTACAGCTGGCCCAGCCGCTGCGGGGGATCCCCCTCCACCAGGTTGTAAGTGGCTGCCGCCAGAAAGTTTTCAAAGCCCTCGATGGGGCAGAACTCAACAGAGTCAGCATTGCCACCGAGCGTGTGCACATCTCTAGTTTGCGCCATAGAAAGCGGGGCCGCCTTTCAAGCACACACGGTGCAATGCTGTGTGGCCCACGCGCTTGTCAGAGAACATAGAGTCTTGGGTTTCAGAAAGGAGTGCTGCACCTTCGGGGCATGCAACTCTTTTCAATTGCTTACGGCGCTAAGGCTGACACTCCCAGCTCAATTTGATGTGGCCCATCTCGAAATTTCCTGCAAAATACCAGCTCGAGCTTGAACCCAATACAGTCACACTGCGAAGGTAATGTCAGAACTGCTGTGGAGGGACTACAAAGGGTGTGCACCACCTGTGTCCCTCTGCGATCTGCTTGCGGCTTCGCCTCTGCCTCAGGCTCTAGCCTAATAGGTCCTAGCTGGGTCTGAGCGTAGCGCCCTAGCTGCAACTCGGGCCTTGAAGTTGAACAGACTTCACACCGACAGCCTTGGAAGTTGGCAGGCCTCGAGCATGGGTCTCCTGAATTTCAAGGTGGAGGCTGGCCCAGGTTTGTCGTCGAAACTTTCACAGTTCAAATTGCCCGGAGGGCAAGTCGACGCCGACGCTTTCAATAGATTTGCTGGAGAAGAAAGTCGCGCTGCGAAGCTTTCTTCGTCCTCTTTCTCACTACGATTGACCAGCAGGATTAGGCTCCCTGCGCCAGCAAGATGAGGTGAGCGGGCCCCCCTCCCTTCTCCCTCTCCTGCCCTTGCCCGCGTTATTCTACTCCTTAAGGTTATCAATGTGGTGTCAAGAGATTGCTTATGCTTAGCGGTGAAGATGATGGAATGCGGCTGAAGTGCAGACATTCAGCAAGTCTGTCCACAGGGTCTGCCAAGAAATCTTTGCAAGCTCGCACTTTCGCCTGAGTGCTGATGCACAAGTTGTAGCACAATGGGCTGCTCGTCCATGGGCCGTGGCCAGTTTCTTTCGTATGCTTTACCATTACCGGCTGCAAGGAGGGTGCAAACTATTGAAGCATCTGCTTTGGGCTTTCGGGTGGAACGGGAATGGATTTGCGGCAAAGAAACATCGGGAGAGCGCTTTCCAGGGACAAAGTGATGATCTGGACATCATTACCAATATAAAAGCATATATCACAGGCGCAGCTAGGCCGGTGCCATTTGATGGTGAATCTATATCACTTTGAACCTATCTCTATCTGTTTCCTTGTAGCTGATGTCTCTTGCCTACAACGAAGGTTATTGTTAAATGACAATATTCGTAGGTTCTTACTGCCCATGCTTGAGAGCAGGGCAGTCAGTTTCGTTGTTGTGTTGTGGTGGCGCCTAGGTTTCGTTGATTTACAGGGTTTCAAACATCGGAGTTCGACACTGTGGTCAGCATCTCCTCTATTACTCGCATTTAATCGAACTCGGTTTGGCAACCCGGCACAACCGCCAAGGAGTGCTTGGTCCGTGCTGAACAACAAGCCCTTATCACCAGTGCTTCCGAAGTCCCTCTGGCGGGGGCCAAGTTCATTTGGGTGAATCTCCCACTCAGAGCATGTCCGTCCCCTTGACTTTCTCAAGAGGAATTGGAGTCAGCACTGTAACGCAGGTTGGTTCTGACCACCATCACTTTTTTCCCCTCTTGCAGCAAGCTCCAGAGCGACGTGTTGCGTGAGGCGATCACCGGCATCAAGAACGATGCCGCTGAGAAGCAGCGCAAGTTCACGGAGACCATTGAGTTGCAGATTGGTCTCAAGAACTATGACCCCCAGAAGGACAAGCGGTTCAGCGGCTCCGTGAAGCTGCCCCACATCCCGCGGCCCAAGCTGCGCGTCTGCATGCTCGGTGATGCCCAGCACATTGAGGAGGTGAGGGGCCTGGTTTGCCTCTTTGCTTTAGGCTTACTCTCTTTCAAAAGGTGTTTTTCCTCGGTCAGCTCTGTCTTGGTACGCGTTGTTATTGGGCACGGCCAAGCATTCAAAGTTTGCATCCATAATGGTCGCATGTACTCTGTTTGTCCTGGCCACAGAGAGCTTCAAGCACACTCATGAGTTTCAAGCGGACGTGTCATTGGTCTACTGCCAGGATGATTATCATTACTTTGTTCTCTTGAATGGACTGCATGTGTGTGGAAGATGCTAAGTCAATGTCACATCCTGTGGAAGTTTCTCAGCCCACTGACATTCGTCTGCCGATGCGCACCCCCATTTTGTTGTTCCATGATGAATCATCCAGTGCGCTGTTCCACAAGTCATACTTCTTCCTCGGAGCACTTTCCTGACGATGCGCCCCTTCTCTGTGCAGTCCAACGCGATTGGGCTGGACAGCATGAGCGTGGAGGACCTGAAGAAGCTGAACAAGAACAAGAAGCTCGTCAAGAAGCTGGCCAAGAAGTACCACCAGTTCGTGGCCTCTGAGGCCATCATCAAGCAGATCCCACGTCTCCTTGGGCCCGGTCTCAACAAGGCCGGAAAGTTCCCCACCCTCGTTACGCACCACGAGAACCTTGAGGGCAAGGTGAGCTGGCTGGGGCAAGTTTTACTGTGTGCTTCGTTTTCAAGGCCGGTTCTTTTTCGGGCTGAAGGTGGGATTATGAGCGATCTGGGGAGTTGTCTTTTGCAGGGTGAATGTGGATTCCAGCTAGCCTGTCTCGGCACTTGGCGAATCGTTGCTAACTTCGTTGCTTTCTGTTCGATGCAACTTATTCAATCAACCAGGGAGTCAACATCGACCTGTGTAGAAGGCTGTGCAAGATTGTTGTATTTGCAGTCAACCCAGATTTGTCTGTATGCTCACGTGACAGTCACCTTCATAGCGACTGCCGTTGACAATCTTTACCAAGGTGGAACTTGAACGACTTCCTTCTACGTTGCCTGACAAAGTACTTCTCCCTACCCCTTTGCTGACGGCCCTTGTTTTCGATTTCTTGCCCAGGTGAACGAGATCAAGGCGAGCGTCAAGTTCCAGCTGAAGAAGGTGCTGTGCCTGGGCGTGGCGGTGGGCAACGTGAGCATGGAGGACAAGGAGTGCTTCTCCAACATCCAGCTCAGCGTCAACTTCCTCATCTCGCTCCTCAAGAAGAACTGGCAGAACGTAAGCCACCCAGGCACCTTCTTGAGGCGTAGTCTGCCCTTTCAAATGGCTGCATCTCACTATTATGGCGCTCTTCTGCCAAACTTTGAAGAGGCTTTCAATTGAGTTGACGTGAAGTAGATCGTCTACTTTCAAGCTAGAAGAGGTCTGTTTGTCTGCTTTTGCTCTGCGACTCGTTGGTCAATCAGAAAACGCGCATTATGCCAAGTCGTTTCGAGGATTGCAAAGCTCGTCAGAGGGTTTACGGGAGTCATAACAATCAGATTTCGCTGGAAGATTCGATCCCATCCTGCCTCAGATGGAAACCCTTAAAAGTCTGAGGTCAGCAAGCTCTGCGCCACAGAGACAACGAAGCTTCGAGGTTTTGGTTGCTGACTCGGTCATTGGTTGTATGCAGGTCAAGTCGCTGCACCTCAAGAGCACGATGGGGCGGCCGTACCGCATTTACTAAGCGCACCTGTGAGCGAAGCGCCCAGAGGCCCGCCACCTCTGGGCAACCCAACGTTGCAAACGCAACGCCACCAAGGCCCCCCCCAAAAGGGGGTCGATGGAAGCTCACACGGAGCGCTTGTGTAATCTGCTGGACAAGAAGCCTAATTGAGTTTTCCATCTGGTATTCCGTTCGTCACTGTCCAACCTCGTCATTGTGGCAATCCGGCGTTTGCCATGGCATGCTTCTGATGCAAGTTGAGGCGGCAGGGTGCGCATCATTTGAATCATGTGATGGTTGCACTTAGGTTGCGAATTCATTCACGGGCACTCTGCGCCGGTGGAGCATTGCAAGATACTCAAAGGCGATCTCCTCCAATGGAGGCCACGGGCACCACCATGCCGGCCGGCAGTATATCATATACCGTCGACGCCGGATGCACGCGCCCTGATACCCTGATTCAGTGGCCGGACCACCGACCAATGATTTATAGTGTGGCGGCCTAGCCCAGGCTAGGCTGGAGATGCGTGCTGTCATTAAATGCAGGGGCTAGGGCTACATGTAAGGCTAGTGCTACATGTAGCCGGCTAGACGGTATAGCCCGCCGGACGTTTCAAATCTCATGCCAGGCGGCTAGCTGGTCACTATCTACAGTGGCCTTGCATGGCACGCAGTATGGTGCATTATTGTTCCAACGAACATGAGTTGCAATGATCATTAAAGATCGATATCTTTAAATCTATATGCATGTGTCATTCCGCGATCATTCATAAATAATGATGCTAGCTGGCGACGGTGCTACAGTATTATGACTGTGCATTGCAATTGTGATTGCCGCGCCGCGGGTACGGTACATAAGTCTGCTCCAAATCACAATCACTTCAGCATGCCTAGGCTACTGAGCGTAGAGCCGCCCCTCCCAAGTTGATGCAAAGATAAAAGACATATATGCATAGCCTCCGCATGACGCGTTCAATCATTCGTTGAATCAGAGCCCACTGAACATAATGCATACGCGCGACATGTTGTCGCCGGCCGAAACTGAGCTTCTTCACAAAGCTCGCTAGGTACTCAGTAAATACATTGTCAATCAATCAAACACAGAGCCGAAAGCTGGGCGCTACTTAGGACCCCAAGTTCGACGTTCAACATCCTACCAACACAACCTGTTCGACGTTTTGCCAAGCAACATGAAGCGGTCCACGTTGCCGTTGAAATACTTTACAACAGCATCTACCAAACATATGGATGATCGACTCGGTTGCAGCAACGAACTGCAGCAACAATTTGAGCGGTAGCTAAAGCAGCCATCAACGGTGATTGCTGTAACAACGTCGGTCAAAAAGGAACTTAACGCTACAAAAAGCGTGCCATGGCTGTCACCAGTTTCTCTGGCCTGCACACACAGAGCACACGGGCAAGTTGACTCTGATCCGCCTCTGGAGCATCGCTAGCCGTTTTAGACGTGTCGAAACTACCCTTCACTATTTTCCTCTCGGTCATGCGTCCGAAAAGACTTCACCCTTTCCCTGGTACTTTCTGATTCACCCTCCAAAAATCAAGTCGTTGCAGTCAGTGTTTCTGTTGTCGTGGGAACACAGGTTGCCCACAATCCCCAAAGCGTTAACTCGAGAAGCATGACGAAAAAACTGATTCCCAGCCCATTGTCGAAACGCTGAACTAGGGACTGTAATAACCAAGAAGTGAACCACAAAGACTAAGCCAAGATGCTTGACTATCCCTCCAACCCTAAAGCCCTATGTTTGGCTTTGAATTTTATAACGCGGCCCCACATCTGTAATCCCGACACATAATGAGTGTCATCGAACCAGTCAACGTATTTTTCCTTTTCTTTCTCGGCTTCCGCCCAAAAAGAGAATGAAGCTCACCAGTCGTCTTGCGGCTGGTGCGCCGCCCCGTCTAGATACTGCACCTCGATCGCATCCGGGTTGATCTTGGCAAACTCTTCCGCCTCGCTCTTGGGCAGATACTTATCGCCGGCGCCCCACGCAATCAGCGTCGGGATGTCCCACTTACCAGGCGCGAACCCGGCTGCCAGCCTGCCCGGGAGTTCGTTCACCGGGGCTTGCCGCAGGGTTTCTAATAGAGCTGCAAAAGCGCCCGGGGGATTTGTTAGCGGGCGGTGATTTGTCAGATCCGAGCGAGCTAGTCAAAACTAGGAGCACTTGTGCAACTTCTTGGTTCTGGTCAAGTGTGTGATGAATCTGCTCGATCAAACGAGGGTGCCAAAGAAAGAGGGGGATGCAATTGCCATCTTTTCGGAGAGTCACATTATAGTCAAGGAGAAGGGCAGCTTTAAACAAGTAGCACAGCACAGGAGCCACGACTGGACGACAAAAGGAAAAGCGATCGACGTTGCCGGATGAGTACACGCAATCCTAGCTATTCAACATAGCAGAACTGCTTCCGCTTTTCGCTTCAAGATATTCGACGCAAGATGCGCATCGAAACAACGTGCTGCGCTCGAAAGAATACTCTCCACGTCCCCGTCAACAAGACTCTGGCAAACTGGATCACTTCACAGCAGCAAGACACATTTCCTGCAAAGACCGAACGGGCCGCAGGCGCGAAGGTGACGTCACTGACCGAAGCCCGCGTCGGAGGAGTCGAGGTAGGGTATCCGGTAGACGTCAGCATCCTCCACGTCTAGCACGTACGGGCCGCCCTTCTCAATGAACCGCTCCGCCAGGACCGCGTTCTGGCTCGCAAACTCGCCTGCACGGACGGAACAGCGGAATGACGGAACGGATCGAGATTGGGCAGTCAGAGACCTGAAGGAAGGGCAGGGAAGAAACAACCGGCTGTGATCAAGAGTGGGGCGCTTGTTTCCGAGACAGGCAGCGAGAAGAATGGCGGATGGGACGACTGAGAGAGACTGGAACAAGAGACACGTGGCCAAAGAGGGCGACAATAAACGGCCAATCGCAGAGCTAGCTTTTATTTCATCACCGGCTCATCGGGTTAGACAGCAAACGCCCTCATGTCTTTGATTCTGCTGAGTCGACATTCATGACGCGACCCGGCTCCAAGCAAAGCGCAGCAACAGGGGCGTGCTGACGCTCCATTCCGCAACCGCTAGGTCTCTCGGCTGTCATACGCGATCCCCAAGCCTCATATCATACCATAGTCCAGATGGCTCCGAGTTGGTGTGAGCACATCACTGTCGACGTGGCCGGAAGGCATCTGGTTGGCCGCATCAGAGGACGCTCAACCCAACGCTACATACGGTCGGTTCAAACCGACGCTCACACGTGCGTGTCGGCTCTTCAAAGTTCTCGCCCACGAACGTAGCTGCAGGTTGTTTAGCACAATGAATCCTATTTGAGCAAGCTTTCTCCCGCCACGGAATCTGACAGCCCTCTCCGCAGCTGTTCACACAAGCTGCGTGCTCTCGTCCGGTTTCTTCCGCGTACTCACCCACGGTTGGTAGCCGACGCTTGTTGAGCACGGTTATAACTTTAGAAACTCAAACGTTCTCCTTCCGGGAATCCTGACAGCCAACTCAGCAAGCACAAGCTCTCTCCTCCATTCTTCATGCTTGGGTTGGAAGGTTGTGGCCGAAGCAGTCATTGTAACCAAGTGCTGGGCTTCTTCTCCGAGCACTCACCGACGAACGGCAGCCGCAGGTTGTTGAGCGCAAGCGGCAGCTTCCCGCCTGACGTCAGCGGTGTGTTGAGGATTACCAGCTTGGCCACGCGCTCCGGGTTCTTCAGCGCCCACGTCAGCCCGTACGACCCCAGCACGAAACCCTGGACACGTGGCAGCAATCGACGGTGTCACAAAGATTCTACGACGAGGAGTTGACGAGAAACACTGGACACAAGACGAGAAATGTGTGACGGACTGTATGTTTGGCGAAACCAAAGACCCATGATTACCCTCATGTCAGCCCAGAAACGCACAAGCAGCTAGTTAAGAGCAAACCCTTTCCTGCGAAATTCGGACGACCGTCACTTGCCCAAAGGTCTGTGGGCGTCGTAAAAAGGCGTATTTACAAGCTCGGAAACTTCATCGAGCAATCGGGGGAACTCCATAACATGCAAATGCCCCTAACAGCTGGAGGAATCGTCGACACGGTTACGTTCATTGGTATGGGAGGAATTACGGTACAAGCGCCAGGTTGGACACGTGTCACTCACATGCGTGACGAGGTAGAATTGCTCTGGCATTTCCAAAGTTTCTAGCAGGCTGTCGAGCGCGCTGTGGAAGCCCGCCTCTGCACGAATGCAGGAGCGGGGTTCATCGGTCACCAGATTCTGTGCGTGATCCGTTCAACCTTTGCATTCAAATTCTGTGCGGAGAAGGCGGAACGCAACTGCCAAACCTGGGAGCTGTTTGGCTTGTTGGCAATTGCGAGGACGAGTCTTGTCAAATTGAAACTTCTTCCCAAAAAATCAAGGCAGATTCGACGAGACGGAGGCATCTTCGCCATTCAAAAAAGACCGAACGACTTAGGAAGCGCTGTGGAAGGCGTTAACAGGCCCCGCAAACTCAATCGAAGAAACAGAAGCACGGTTGTCATAACGCTGTTTTGGTGTGATGCACCCTAAGACCTCGCGGGAAGATGACTGATTTCAGTAAGTCGACCGGCGGGAAGATGACTGATTTCAGCGAGTCGACCGGGCGATCGTGCGCACCTTTGTAGGTGAACTCGTACCCTGGCGCAGGCTTGTCGCTGAAGCCAAAGCCGAGCCAATCAGGAGCGTACACCTGGAACCCCTTGTCGGCGAGCTGCAGCACGAAGAGATTGTCGCTCAGCACAGACCCTTTCTCTGAGAGGCCTCGCATTTAAGAATTTCCCAATGTGGCGCGCTCAGAAGAAGAACCTCTAAAGACTGAAAATGCTGGCCCCAAACACAGGAATGAAGAAGGCGGATGAGATGAGTCGATTCGAATTGATGGATAGTGATGTCGTTCAAACCCTCCGACACAAGTCGGCACTTGCAATATGATTCTGACGAAGCTTTAGAAACAGACAGCACAATATGGCTCAAGTAAACACCCCGAAATACCAGTCCCTGCAACCGGAAACGTGCCTGATTCACGGTCTTGACGAAAACTCACAAACGGAGGGGTGCAGCACACCCTCGTTAATCACGGCCCCGAAATCTGATCGTACCGGCTCTACTCTGGCAGTATTCTCACAAAACGACTGCGCAACGTTATTTCGTTGATACGTTCTTTCAGAAGGCCCGCTCCTATATTGTTGGCTCAATAGCCCCCGACCCAAAGACTCTGCCTACTGAATGGTCTCAACGTCAATCTAAGATGCCGAGGGCGCGGTACAATCTCATACACACCCCCACAAAGCGAACCCCGATTTCCAAAAACGCACCTGCTTCACCGTCTTGACGTAGCTCCACGACGAGGAGGGCGCTCCGTGCAGCAAGAGCACGGGCGGGCGGCGGCGCAAGCTGAAGCCCTTGCACTCGCGCACCCACCAGTTGACGCCCTCGGGGACGGCGACGTAGCGGCCGTAGTCCTGGCCCTTGTCCTTGATCTGGGCCATCATCTGACCCACGTTGTAATCCTGCGCCAAACCGCGGGAATTTGAATCACTGATGCAAGAAAAGGAAGGTCTGTTGCAGGTGTCTGGATGGGTCTGGAACCACTATAAAGGCTTGAACTTCGCTCAGTCAAGGTACAAGGCGTTGGAGTCAGCAGACAAGTGAGTGTTGGCTTTGGAGTCTTGGCCCGCTCCAGGTACAGATCACTGGTCGTCAACCTTCGAGTTGCCGAGCCTAGTTGAAATCTCGAGCTTTGGCGAGGCCTCAAGACTGTGGCCCTGTAAGCGGCAAACCAGGACGAAAGAAGGGACTTTGCAAGAGTTCTGAGCAGAAAATCAGGGACGAGGCTGCGCTCCAACCAGACGTACAACTATTTCCACTCACGCTTTGTCAACCCGCACTCAGTCATGTTCACTTTTACCTGCTTTTCCACCTCCCCCAGCTTTCTTCACTGACCTGGGCGGGCGTGTTCTCGAGCTGGATCGCCCCCTTGCTCGACTTGTTATTGGTCACCCACCCAAACAGCCCCCCTCCTTCCTTCTGTGGCGAACTCGTGGGCTTGCCACTTCCATCGTCCACCCACGTAGGATCGTCCTCCACAAACTTGGGGGGGTACTTCTTCTGCTCAGCTACTATGCGGGCGCCCCCGCCATTGGAGAGGCGCGAGGCAGAGGGGCAGATGGAGTGAGTGGAAGGCAGAGCGCCGGGACCAGTAGGTTTAAGGGCGTTGGCCCGTTGTGAGAGGGGGTCAGAAAGGGAGGTAAAAGCGGGGGGGGGCAGCTTGCATAGGCTGGAGGATGCCATGGTTGCGCCTGCAACATAGTAAGTTGCGGGTGAATACAAGATTTGGATTTAGTCCTTGGTCATCGCTCATTTGAGGGCACATTCATTGACGCCTAAGATTAATTCGATTGGTGCCAGGATTTTGTAGATGTCGATGGGACTGGAAAACAAGATCTTGATGGAGCTTGAGCTGTTCAATTACTAGAGTGCATCATTCTGTGAAAGTCATGCTGGCATCAGGAAGAGGAAACTCAGTCATTTGTCAATGTAGCTCCCAAAAGATTTGAATGCAAAGTCTTCAACATAACCTGTGTGGTTCCAACGAAGACGAGCAGACATGCTGGGTGTTTCTAAATATCTGAGCGCATTGCCACCTTCTGAAAAGATTGATCAGTGCAGTATGAAATAGTCTTGCCTCTGCAAATTGGGTGGGGGTTTGCCCACAAACCCATAAAGGAGAAGTAAAGGCAAGTTGGCCAGACTCACCTAGCAAATGCCACAAAAACTTGCGCTATGAAGAATGCACTTATGTTGAACGACAATGTGGTTTATAGGGAGTGTTTCCTAGAGTTGCCAGTCTGCAAACCTTCAGCTTTTGTCAAATTCAATCAAACATCAAGGAACAAGATCTTGAAGAGGCGTGGTGTTTCAAGAGAAAGTGTAGATTATGCGCCGCTGTACCCTTTCTCAGAAACTTGCAGCTCTACAATAAGCAGAAAAGTACAGGGCGAGTGACCCTATTACTCCGTCACGCGAAACGTTTGACGCTGTGCAGAACCTTCCGGCCACAGCAGCTGCAAATGCCTGCAAAACACTTCAAGTTTGTTTCAGACTTCCAATTTGCCCAACAGCTGTGGCTGGGCCTGGGCCTGGGAAGGCCTCCGGCCCCCTCACTTCGTCCCTGGATCAATGGGCTGCTCTGCCTCCGTGTCGAAAGAAAGAGTTTCGATTGAGCCACGTCGCAGCGTCAGTGCAATGTCAGCGGACTGAATCTGAATCTATGGAAATATCAAAAACTTACAGCCAATCAAAGTCGACTTAGTCATGACTCGATCATGACTCATAGGAGGTCTTTCCTGGGCAAATCGGAACATCGCCATGTAGCAATTTGCAGCGTCTGTGGTGCTGAAACTTAAAGGCTCTCAAATTTCAATGTCATGCAGCTGTGACAACTCTAGCCTTAGGAGGACCTGATGCGCATGTTGCAGGGCTCAAGTGGCTCATCTACCACATTGGGGTAGGACGAGCTGCTGTGTTGTCGGCAAGGCCTGCACCAAGGATCATGGCACTTGGGCAGCTTGCAAGGCGCCCGACTCTCCAATCAGGACTACTGAATCATGAGCTACACCAGCCTCGGCGAATGCCCACGAACGGCATGATTGGCGCACAAGTAAATTTCCCTTGTGCCAAGCTGCCCATTGCAGTGAAAAGGGCAAGTGGGCGCTGCAATGCTGACACTTCTCTGACCGCACGGAACAAGTCCTTGGGCTCAATTGCGGTGCAGCATTTCTCCAACGGCGAAACACTACGGGCGCATGCATTGGGCGCCCCGCACTCAACCAGCAATCGCACAGTCGCACACTTCAAATCCGTTGAAAGCCCAATCTTTGGTGGGGTTAAGTTCAGCAATAGGCGAAGTCGTGGTGTCGCAGGCTGGGGCCCGGTGCAAATGAGGAAGTCCAGTCATGGGCAAGCACGCGCAGCTTCCGCAGAAAGCGCGGGGGAGAAGGCGGGCGATACGGGGACAGTGATTGTGTGGCTGAAGCGGGACTTGCGGGTAGACGACCACCCTGGATTCGCAGAGGCGCTGGCGGCTAGGGGGGCCCTTCCGGTGTATGTGTTTGACGTCGCATTGGTGAGAAGCAGACTTCATGATTTATCCCAAGGGTGTCAGCCCCATGTGCCTCCCCGGCAACATACAGTCAGCGCATGAGTGCGCACCATGCAATCCTGACAGGACAAACCGTTGATTAGAAACGTCAGGATGACATCCTGGGTCAGGTCGCTGTGAAGACCAGTCTCCCAACACCCTTTTTGAAGCAGTCTTTAGTTATTCAGGCTTGCAGTTTTTTGCTCCTGTTGACCTTTGGGGTAAATTTGTGGCAGTGTAGAGGGGCCTAAGATTGTTCTTCTTGAAGGACATTACAATCTTCTGGGTTTAAGATGTACATGTCTTCTTTTATAATGTGGAACTTGTTTTCTCTCGAAGTCAGGGCATTCCTGTTGAGAGAATCTTATGACTCTGTACCACCATCACAAGATTCTACCTTTGTGAAGCCTTTCTAGGGTGGCACACTTAACTAGAGCTGGCGCGAAGCAGCAGCCCCAGAAAGTCTGAAAAATGGACCCACCACTAACCCTCTCTGACTTGCAAATTGTTGTTGCCCCCATGTCAGAAAGCAATTACGTTTTTCTACAACGGCTCTGGAGAAAAGTCGGGCATGGCTGGGTGATCATTTTCCCATCAGATTGCTGTGTTATTTTCTTTCATTCTTCTGTCGAACCGACAAGAGTTGTACCTACAATCCGGTCTTGTCGAAAATTCGTCCCTCACACTCTCTCTGGAATGGGTCTTGAAAAGGACTACGGCAGAGAGGGCTGTTTCGCTTCACCCACTGCCAACACTATGTACGGAGTGCACTGAAAAGTCATAGCGCCACGTTTCCTTGACTCTATTTTCCCTAAACTGTAAATCGTTGTTTTTTACTCCCCCGCCAGCTGGCAGAGCTCCCTGAGAGTACGGTGGTTGCCATTCACGAGGGCGTCCTCGACGTGCAGCGCTCGCTCCAGAAGCTCAGAAGGTGGGGCCCTGTGTATTACGTTTTATCTGTTTCATCTCACATACTCTTACACAGAGTGCGCACTGTCAACTGGGGAAGGGACTGCCTCTGTATCAAACGGACGACATCTAGCCTCGTATGTGCTTGCCAACTTCAAAGCCGAGCTGAATCTTGCTCTTGGGAAAGCCCCTAAGTGGAAGTATTGTTCCCGAACGCGGTAGATTCCGTCTGGCAAGATAAGAAAATAACATCAAACTTCGTAGGGTAGAGTACAAAGTCCCAGCAATTCGTCCTGGCCCTGACCTAATTCGCAAATTCTTGTGCGCTATTCCGTAGCAACTTGGCAGTGGAGGTGGGCCCCTCGCAGGAAGTGCTCCCGGCACTGGCACAGAAGTTGGGTGCCCGCGTTGTCATTGCCGAGGACGAAGTCGAACACTCGTGGAGACAGGTGAACCTCGAAGCGCGTACCTCCTGAAGAGAAGGAGCGGAATCTTGTCGAGCACTATTTCATTCTTCGTTTCTCCTTCGTATAGCTTGAGGAAGGATCTGCTTCCGTCTTGAGCCCGAGATGCGAGTCGTTTCGGTGATAACAGGCGTGTGACAGCATCGAATACATAAGTGCGCAAAAAGGGTGACTTCCTGAAGGCGGAGTTGAGAACGCGCCCTCTTGCCTCGTCAGCTGTGGTATAGATTCTTTGCGTCACTTCCAAATATCTTTAGCATCGTCAATCCGTTCGGCAAAGCAAGTTGAGTGCGGCGCCGTGGCGACGTGAAAGACTGTCTTTGAAGACGCTCCTCTCCAGGACTTGAACCTGTCTGCGTCCAGCGTTGATCGGCTCACTTGACAGCCCAAAAAGGATTCAGTCCATTGAACCACGTGGCATCGACCTCAAAGTTGCTCGGTTCGGAGCCCGCAGTCTTGACGGAAGCCCCTCCCTCCGGGATCCTGATCCAGTCCGAAGCCTTATAAACACCAAGGCTTATAAGGCCCTCGATTGCATGCGGAGCTCTGTTTGTTCGTCTCCAGGTTGTGAGTGCGGTGGAGGGTGCTCTTCAGTCTGCCGGTGCCCAGCTGCGGACGTGGACGCTGCCCCTTTACTCCTTCCCCGAGGGCCGCCCCGCCCCGTCTGACTACAAACAGGTGGGCCGCCTTGTGACGTTAGAGAAGGTTGTTGCTCGTGCGATGTAACACAGGATCATGTGATGCCAAACAGCGCCTAGATATTGAAAGACTGGCGGGCTGGGTCAAAGTTACTGATCCTATGACAGATGGGGTTTGGGTTTGCATGATGGCATGAGGTTTGGTCAGCATAGGTCCGGGAAGAGACGAGAGGGCCGCATTTCCAACTCTGGAACAACCCTCAGAAGAACCTTGCTCAGAAAGCTTCGGCGGCCGCTTCTACTGTCCTTTCTCCCGCAAAGTACTAAGCAGCTCGGCTCGGATCGTGACAGTCAAGCCCTAACATTGATCCTTGCCTTGCTTGTGTAGTTCGTCAAGTCACGGTCCGCCCCCCTGCCCCCGCTGGACCCCCCCACCTCGCTCCCCCCACACCGAACGTACCCACATCGACGGTCGTGCCTTCCCTTGACGATCTTTTGGACCAGATCGACGACTATCGCGAGCAGTCCAATCGGGCGCCTCTCGTGGGGAGCCAGGAGGGGGGTCATGAAATCGATGCGGACCCGGGGCAAGAAATCGAGAATCGGTATTGGGGCGATGGGCGGTACGAACTGCGCGGGGGGGAGACCGTGGCGCAGGACGCCCTCAAAGGGTACCTGCGCTTCCTGGTACGTACCTCTGCCGTAGAGTACAGTTAAGCTGAAGGCTGAGCAACGGGTCGTTTTCGGTTCGACGGTTGAAAACATACGTCAGTCCCCGCAGCGAAACTGAACTGCTGGTGCCACGTGTCAGTCTGCTCCGACAACCAACGTTCGCCGTCCCCTGTCAATCATTCGGCTGACGTCACTTTCCTTGGTAATGCAGGAGGCGACCAAGAACGAGAGCTGGTACCGCATGTACTCGCTGGTGCGCGAGCTCGAGGCGCGCCCGCTGACGTCATTCCCGGCCATCTTCGGGGAGGCGCTGGCGGCGGGGTGGCTCAGCCGGCGGCGCGTGTATGCAGAGGCGCTCCGCTACGAGAGGGACCGCTCGGGGGGGCGCCTCTCGCCCTTCGGCTTCTCCGCGCTCACCGCTGAGGTCAGCACACGTCACGCGAGAGTACCACCTGGTTCTTTGCAAGGTTCTTGGTTTCGTTCTCAGATCAATGGTGCGGGCTGGCCTGTGAGCTGCTGGTCCTTCGTACGATTCGAAGGACGCCGACGGTTGCAGGTTTAATGTCCGGACTAGGGACGATCTTTTACCCTCGCAGCACAACATGACGTGAGCGCAGGTACGAGAGAATGCCCGCGTCTGGAGCTGGCGCTTGGATCTAAACTTCGTCACCCATATTTGGCCACATCCCAAACCGACTTCTATGCATCAAATTCCTATTGCCATTGATATTACTCCGACGGCACATTGCGCCTTACAAAATAGTGATCCACGCTTCTCATAGCTCACTTTCGTTTTGGAGCCCGTTCCGCGTCCTTTTCTGTCCCTTTTGTCACGTCAGCACCACATGGCGCGCTCCCTGGATGCAGGCGGCGGTGCGGACCGCGGAGCTGGCAGACTTCCATTGGCAGCTATCTCGGGAGGGACACGTGGCGCCAGAGGAGGGCCAGACGGGGGCGCGCTGGTGGCGCTGGCGGGGTTTCCTCACGCAGTACCTGCAAAAGGGCGACCGCGGGCCGGCCGTCCTCCTCGTGTAGGTCGCCCTCCGGAAAACGTGGAAGGAGCTGATTGAAAGAAGGAAATCAAGAAGTTCACGATCGAAAGGGGTCACCTTTTAAGAAGCAATCCAAAGGCACCTCCCGATCTGAAGCATGTTGTTGTTGATGGGTATAGAGGCGAGACGTGAGCGCGTCCAGAACGTATTCATTGAACGGACGTACAATTGTTGCCGATGGAAAGGACTTATCAACGTTGCAACACTGTTATTAGACGTGTGTGTGGTGAGATTCCGCCTTGCTCGGGACTTAGACCGCCATTCTCCTCGGCTGGAGCAGGCACCAAAACGGGACATATCATTGACCGAGAGCCTGGCGTTGTAAAGACGAGGGTTGCGCGACACGATGATGGGCACGAGTACGCCTCGTTCGAAGCCTTGCCCCTACTAAACGCCAGGTACTCTCTCTGTCTGAAAACGATTCGTCCTAATTGTGCAGGCACGGGTTTGGCGCGTTCAGCCAGCACTTCCACCGGAGTGTGGACCAGCTGTCGTCGGGCGAGGGCGGATGCCGCGTGTGGGCCGTCACGCTGCCCGGCTTCGGCCGCTCCGAGAAGCCCCGCCGCCGCTACTCGCAAGTGAGCACAACCTGCTCACAAGGAAGCTCACCGTTTACCACATCTTTTGCTCCATGAACCGCAATTTGACCGTTGAAACGACCTTCCCAGGGCAGCGTTGTCAAAGGTTGCCAAAGGTGAGAGAGGGGATCCCAGATCACTTCATGAAGCTCCTCTACGAAACGTGGTGACCAAAGGCCAAAGGCGAAGTCACAAGTGGTGACGTAAAAGCATTTTGGCAGCAGGTAGTCTATGTCGCTTTGATATTTTGAGCACGCCTGCCCTTTTTATTCCCTTCCTTCACTTCTTCAGAAGGAGGTTCCCGCATTCTTCGCCTGATCATGGATCGCTTGCTGCGGTGTTGAAGCGCGGGTGTGGCTTGATGCAGTTTCCATAGAAAGAGCAAAGGGAGATCTCAGCGCGGCTGGCCCCGCTCTCTTTCGCCACACGATACCCTGCCCTCGGTTTTCAAAAAGCGTATTTATCTTGCGACGTTCACAAGCCGCGCTGGCCGTTACTTCTCCCGCTATGCCTCTGCCACAATCCCCTTTTTGCCCGGTTATTCTCACCCGGTTCTTCTCACGTGTGGCACCTCATCCCGCTTGCTTCCCTCGCAGGAGCTGTGGGCCGAGTTCCTGGCTGACTTCATTGCGAACGTCATCCGGGAGCCGGTGATCCTGGCCGGCAACTCCATCGGCGGCTATTGCTGCACCACCGTTGCGGCAGACTTCTCATACCTCGTGCGGGGCTTAGTGCTGCTCAACAGCGCGGGCCGTATCTTGCCCGGCTATACCCTCCCCCCCGCGAGCAGCCTTCCACGAAAGACCTTTGGGGACGCCCTCCCCAGCTTTGTACCGTGGGGAATTGCTCGCCTCTTGTTTGCGTATCTCGACGGGAATGTCGACAGCATTCTCCGGCGATGCTACCCCGTGCACCCGGACGCGATCGAGCGGTGGCTCGTAGAAGAGATTAAACGGGCGGCGGCGGACCCGGGCTCGGTTGACGTGTTTGAGAGCGTGTTTTACCTGCCCAAACCACGGCCGATCAACTTTCTGATCGACCGCTTTGGGGGGCCCGTGTTGGTAGTGCAAGGGCGTTTCGACCCGCTAAATGATGCGGTGCGGCGAGCGGAGGCGCTGCGGGCCGCATGCCCGGGGGCGGTCAGTGTCCACCTAGTCGACGCAGGGCATTGCCCCATGGATGAGTTGTCCGGTCCGGTGAGCACGTACATTGCAAACTTCGCGAAAGCTCCCCGGGAAAAGCGGGACCCTCCTGAGGGCGAGCCTCGGCCCGACAAACGAAAGGAAGAGGAGGCAGGGGGCATCGCGGAAGTTGTTGTCGAACTAGCGGGACAGTCAAGGCCGCTAGATCGCTAACAGACGGGTTGCAAAAGTGAATCAGATTGGTACATGTACACAAGTACGTCAATAGCGCCCATGGCACTGGATGCCGGAGTTGGCCAGGTATGCGTGATTGTATCATTTGATCAATCTACTGAGTCGCATATCTATTATCATCATTCAATCCACCACGCAACGTTTTGTAGCTATGATGACCAATCCAAGGGCAGCTAGCTCTGCGCCCGGCATTAGCCGGATCATACGGTAGGATAGAATAGTGACGTACTACAGTACCTAGGCTCATAAAGCTAAGCGTGCTGCAACGTCTGATGTTCGCCGCAAACCCCATCATGGCTTTGGAGTCGGAGTGCCTCATGCACTGATAAGTTGTCCGCTGTGTGTTCAGACACATGGTGCACCGCAAGTCCGGCGGCGCGGCCGCCTTGTCGTATGCAGGCAGGCTGAACTATCTGCAAAATTGCAGGTAAATTCAGCAATATGGCGGCACTACCGTCATGGCATTGAAGATCTTCAATCCGGGCCAAACTCACGAATTTATTGAGCTATGCAATTGGTGACCGCCAGGCCCACTGTCTTTTAGAATTTTGCGAAAGATGATATAATAGGTATGCCATATGGCCTGATCGGAGTATTTGTAGGACGTAGTACCGGCCCGGGTGGTGGTGGTGGTGAAGTTTGAACCTACCGGACCGCCAGCACCCGTACCTGGAGCTCACTGGTCACGGTTTCCATGGTGTTCACCGTTTCCATGGTCACTTCTTTTCATACGTACACGCTTTGCCGGCACCTGGGCCCATGGCACAGAAACAAGCAATTTCGGAGTTCGGGCTTCATCAGAATATGGTTACTACTCTAGTTACCAAGCGGTTACTAACAACAAAGCAACATGACATGCTACCGTCTCCATCCTATGTACAATCACTCAAATATATGCAATCA